GCAGTAATATCAGGATGAATCATTCCTTAAACTTACCCATTTCACTGCCTCTTGCAATAGTATGAATACATAATAGTAGGTTCTACCAAAATTTTAGTCACTTAGGTTTATATTTGATACCAAAATGAGAAATCACTTAGTCCTGCATAGACATTCATCTCCTCTTACACTTTATGTCTAGTTCTACTATTTTAGAATAGTAAGTAAAATTATAGTATAGAAAGCACAATAGGAAGTAGAAGGAGTCCCAAGATCGATTGGTATAATTTGAAGAAAAATTCAACCAAACTTACTCTAATAATCTATTTGCAGATAATAAAGATTTGCTTGGACCACTAATCACTATTTTGGTCATTAAGTAGTTTTTAAAAGCCATAAAATTAGAATTCTCTTCTTAAATTTTTAATTTTGAAATCATTATAGACTCACAGAAGTACATGGAGGAGCCCAGTAAATCCTTCATCCAGCTTCTCTTAAGGGTGACAGCTTATGTAACTCTAGTGTAATATTTCAAAGCAGGAAATTTGCATTGGTATACCACTCACTGGTAATAGACTAAAGACCTTATTAAACTTTTAGCAGTTTTCTCCTGAACTCATTTTTGTGTCTGTGTCTCTGTGCTATGATCCCATGTATAGATTTGTGTGACTACTACCACAATAAAGATACAGAACTGTCCCATTATAAGAAAATCCCTCCTGTCATACCCATCCCTCAACCCTGTCCCTATCGCCTAGCTGCCACAATTCTGTTGTTAATTCTAAATGTTTTGTTGTTTTAAGAATGTGATATAAATGGAATTGTACAAAATGTAATTGGCCTTTTTTTCCCTTAGCATAATGCCCTTGAGAGCCATCCAAGTTACTGCACATATCAATAGTTATTGTTGTTTTTTTTTCTCACCTATATTCCCCTGTATGTATAGATGTTTCAGTTTCTATAACCCCACTGGCTTGTTGAAGGACATCTGTATTATTTCCAGTTTTTTGAGGTATTACAAGATAACTTGTTATAGACATTAGTATTATAGACTTTTTGTTTGAACATGAGTTTTCCTTTCTGGGATAAATACCCAAGCGTACAATTGCTGTGTTGCATGGTGAGTGTATGTTTAACTTTTAAGAAACTGCCAGAAAAAAACTTTGGAGGGTAGCTGTACCATTTCACAGTCTCACCAGGAGTTGTATGAGAAATCCACTTTTTCTTTATGATCACTGACATTTAGTCAGTCTCTCTCTCTCTCTCTCTCTCTCTCTCTCTTATTTTGGCTGTTGTAATAGGTGTGTATTAATATCTCATTTGATTTTAATTTACACTTTCCTAATGGCTCATGATGTGGAAAATCTATTCATATGTTTATTTGCCATACATTTATCCTCTTTGGTGAAATGTCTATTTATGTCTTGTTCATTTTTCTAATTAAATTGTTAATTTTGAGTTTGTTTATTTTAATTAAATCTTTATTGTTCAGATTATTACATTTGTTCCTCTTTTTCCTCTCCATAGCTCCCCTCCACCCTGTTCCCACCCCACCCTCTGCCCTTACCCCCCCCCATGTCCTCATCCATAGGTGTACGATTTTTGTCCAGTCTCTTCCCGCATCCCCCACACCCCTCCCCCCCCAGAATAGTCAGTCCACTCCCTTTCTATGCCCCTGATTCTATTATAATCCCTCCACCAGTTTATTCTGTTCATCAGATTATTTATTCACTTGATTCTTAGATTCACTTGTTGATAGATGCATATTTGTTGTTCATAATTTGTATCTGTACCTTTTTCTTCCTCTTCCTCTTCTTAAAGGATACCTTTCAGCATTTCATATAATCCTGGTTTGGTGGTGATGAACTCCTTTAGCTTTTCCTTATCTGTGAAGCTCTTTATCTGACCTTCAATTCTGAATGATAGCTTTGCTGGATAAAGTAATCTTGGTTGTAGGTTCTTGGTATTCATCACTTTGAATATTTCTTGCCACTCCCTTCTGGCCTGCAAAGTTTCTGTTGAGAAATCAGCTGACAGTCGTATGGGTATTCCCTTGTAGGTAACTGAGTTTCTTTCTCTTGCTGCTTTTAAGATTCTCTCTTTGTCTTTTGCTCTTGGCATTTTAATGATGATGTGTCTTGGTGTGGTCCTCTTTGGATTCCTTTTGTTTGGGGTTCTCTGCGCTTCCTGGACTTGTAAGTCCATTTCTTTCACCAGGTAGGGGAAGTTTTCTGTCATTATTTTTTCAAATAGGTTTTCAGTATCTTGCTCTCTCTCTTCTTCTGGCACCCCTATAATTCTGATGTTGGTACGCTTGAAGTTGTCCCAGAGGCTCCTTACACTATCTTCGTATTTTTGGATTCTTTTTGCTTTTTGCTTTTCCGGTTAGTGTTTTTTGCTTCTTCATATTTCAGATCTTTGACTTGATTCTTGTGATCTTCTAGTCTGGTGTTGGAAGTCTGTATAATATTCTTTATTTCAGTCGGTGTATGCTTAATTTCTAGTTGGTCCTTTTTCACAACTTCAAGGGTCTCACTAGACTTATTGAGGATCTCATTAAATTTATCGGCGGTCTCACTAGATTTCTTGAGTGTCTCACTAAGTTTATCGGCGGTTTCTTGAAAATTCTTGAAAAACCTTATAACCGTGGTTTTGAACTCTATATCCAGTAGTTTGCTTTCCTCCATTTCTGTCTTTTGTGACCTGTTCCTTTGTCTCCGCATTTTTTATGCTTCCCTGTGTTGATAGAGTGGCTTTCTGGGCTAGGTGTCCTATAGAGCCCAGTGGCTCAGCCTCCCCAATTACCTGAGGTGGACACTCTTGGTGCACCCCCTTGTGGGCTTTGTGCAGAGTCTTGTTGTAATTAAGCCTTGATTGTTGTAGGTATCACTGGGAGGAATTGACCTCCAGGCCAATTGGCAGTGAGAATCAGTTGTGTCTGCAGTGGAGAACTTCTGTGCTGGAGACACCCTTCTGGGGCAAGACTTGCTTCAGTGGGGCTTTGGTGCTCACTGAGTCTGCCCCCTGAGTGTGTCCCTTATGGATCTGAGGAGTTGTAATCTGGATGGTCCCACTCTGACCACTGGTTACACTGGCTCTTGGATTGCTAAGGAGGTGCTAATTTAGCCTCTGCCTGAGGTTATCCAGCAGGAGCTCAGCTGTGAAGGAATACAAGCTGCTGTGGGGCCTTGGGTCAGCTGCAGTTGGTTAGGTAATTTTCAGATTGCAAAGGGCCAGGCCTTTCATATGCAAAAGCTGTTGCACAGCTTGGGCAGGGCGGGGTCCCAGGGGAACAACAGGGTGGAGCAAGCAGTTATGTTTGCTCCTCAATCCTGCCCTCAGAGGCCCCGCTTCTCAGTGTCCCGGTAATCGCTGCAAGCACCTCTGAGAGAAAGTCGCCCTCAAGGTCCAACCGATGCCAGTCTAGCCTCTCCCCGTATGAGTCTGGGTCCCTAGAGACTTCCCAGAACTGGAGTTCAGAGCAGTCGGGAGCTTGAGACTCCCTCTCGATTGAAAAAGACAGCCGTGTCCTCAGCGTGCGCCTCTGTACCTCTGTACTTTACTTCCACACCGCACCTCCTCTGAGTTTCCGTGTGCTTTTCTCTTTCCTTCTAGTTGTAGAATTTCCACTCAGCCATCCTTCCTGTCATTCTGGATGATGTCTGTTTTATCTTTTAGTTGTATTTGTGAAGTGGTTGTGCAAGGCAGCAATTTCCGGTGTTTACCTATGCTGCCATCTTGGTTTCTCTCTATTTTGAGTTTTGAGTATTTTTTATATGCACATTCTTTGTCAAATATGTAGCTTGTAAATATTTTCTCTAGTTTAAAGCTTGTCTTTTCATTTGTAAAATTAAAATTAGCTTTTAAATTATTCTTTGTTAGAGAGTAGAGATTTTACTATTACTTGGAGAGACAAGATGTGTTAGAACTTCTATCTTTTGACTAAGACTTATTTACAGTCAAAATTTGCGTAGGTTAGGCACTAAAAGAGTGCATGTGTTTCTTTCATGGATGATCCCCAAAAGAAGAAAAATGCATGCTTTTAATAATGCCTTACCTGACATATTGATGCAAGAGGAAGGATTAAACACCTGCCCTACAATCTCAGACATTTTACTTAGCTTTTCTGAGGAGTAAATTCGTAATCCATAAAATAGGGGGGAGGGGTATGTTTTTTAATTCCAAAAGTACTGTGAAATAGCTAATATAGCTCTAAAAAATAAGGCATATTACCAAAGCTTTCTCCCGCTTTTTGAATTATTAGTCTTCCTTATCATTTAAGGGACAGTTGTTTCAGGATTTGAACCTAGTCTTCTATAATTTCAGATGTCAACATGTAAACCCTTTTCAGAGAAGCAGAGTGAGGATATTATTTCATGTTGTTAATCTTAAAGGGTTACTGTAGTAATAGTTATTTTATAGGGTTATTTTGAGGATTAAATTATTTAATAAATGCAAAGCACTTGTAACAGTTCCTGTTATATACTAGCAAGTAAACACTGCTTAAGCTATTATTACCTGACTAGTAAAGTACTGCTATAGGGAATCAATGCTAAGAAAGTGAGATCTTTCAACCTAGGTGTTTATCGATGAGTATGTTGCCCTCAAGGAGACTTTTATGTTATTTTTCAGTAGAATATACATTTTTCATTTCAGTTATAATAATATCTTCAATTTGGGGACTCTGACAATTAGACAGTTTTATTTAATATAGTTTGATTATGGATAAAGAGAAATAGAGGCATTTATGGATGTTTACAGAAGAGGCATTTTATTTATCTACTCTCTAATGACTAAGACTGATCAAGAAAGCAAAGGCTTTGAGAAAGATGATTCTGTGGGATGGATGTGGGGAGAAACAGCAATAGGTTCAGCTAAGAATTGAAAGTTTGAGAATTTCGATCATTTTTTCATGCTTTAAAATATGTGTTTAATTTGATTCTATAATGGTAAATTCTTAAATACTTTAAGCCAGTGGTCTTTATTATATTCATGTTTAAATGTTTTATTTTTTTTTTAAGGACTTCAGTTTGTTGAAATGAGCAGTCGTAAATCAAAGAGTAACAATTTAATACATACAGAGTACCTTTCACAGGTTAGTATATATTTTCATTAACTTCAAATTCTATTACTTTGCAAAGGTCCTCAGAGAAATAGTTATCTTCTTCCCATTCTAAGAGGCAGAATGCCATATGCTTCTATTTAATTTTATCCTTTTTAAGTCTTTGGGTAGTTGGGATTCTAACTTTACATGTCTTCCTAAGTGTGGTTCTGATTTCAATTTAGTTTAACATTATCTTCCAAGTTTTATACTTCCTTGGCTAAATGTATTCCTGTGGTTTTTTCATTTCTTTTGAAGCTGTAATAAATAAAGTAGTTTTATTTTTATTTGTTCATTGCTAATGTATCTAAATGCAATTGATTTTTATATATTAATCTTATTTACTGCAACTTTCTGAACTCATTTATTAGTTCTGATAGTTTATTAGTTTATTCCCTAAGATTTTGTATATACTAGGTCATGTCATCTACAAATAGAAATAGTTTTACTTCTTCCTTTTCAAACTGGATGTCTTTCATTCCTTTTTCTTACCTAATTGCTATGGCTAAACGTTCAGTGCAATATTGAATAAAGGTGGCAAGAGGAGACAATCTTGTTTTGTTTTTGATATTGGAGAAATGTATTCAGCCTTTAACTGTGGAACATTATATTAGCTGTAGGTTTTTGTCGATGCCCTTTATCACATCAAGGAATTTCACTTAAATTCCTAAAATATTTATCATGAACATTTAAGATAGTTGCATACTGTATTTCAAATGCTAAGTATATCGCTATACATATCTCTATTAAGGAATCTAGGAGGGAATGGGCATGGTATTTCTACCCTGACGTTTCTTTTTACCTGGCTTGATCATCAGAACTACATTATTTTTTAAATTAAAACTAAATGGTATTGGCATCCCTTTATAAAACCTTGTTCTTATTTTTGAAGGTAAATGTTTAATTCTGTTCCAAAAAATTTTTTTTTAACTAGTATAATTTACATATCTTCATAAAGGGCACAAGTTCATGTACAGCTTCATTAATTTCTGTAAATCCTGACCCAAGGATATGTTTTTCATTGATTTGAGAGAGAGACAGAGAGACATCAGCGTGAAAGAGAAACTTCAGTTGGGTGTACCTCTCCCCTCCAAACATGTCCCAACCAGGGATTGAACCTGCCACACCAACCAGGGCCAGCTTCATTAATTTCTGTACATACATTCACTTGTGTAACCTCTACCTGAGATTACTTTGGAATTTGTAAACCTCCAGCTACTTACTACAGCTTCTCTTCACTTTATCCCTGTCATATTTTATACATAGTTGTTCCCTCTCTAATAGACTCTAATGAAGAAAGGAAAGGTCTGAGGTTTGTCTTTTAATTTCTAGTGATATTATCTAGGTAGAGGAATAAACATTATGATTTGTTGAGTCTCCATATATGCTCATTTAAATGTTTTACAGGTATCAGCTATTACCTGTCCAATACCTATGCTGTATTAGAGATTGCTCTCTTATTTAATCTGAAAAACAGGCTTGTCAGAAAGTGTTACTGTCTCCATTTTATAAATTTTTTAAAATTAAGATTTAGAAAGGACTAACTTTAAAATGCTTTTCTGGCACCAATTTTCTTATTCTTTTCACTTCCTCTATAATGAAATGTATTTATTATTTTATCCCCAGTGAATAATTTGCTTTGTTTATACTCTAGTGCATGTAAAGAGAACTCATGTATCTCTTTGATACATGAAGGATCAGTCCCACACTCTCAATTTGGGAAAAATAAATAATCTTGGAGGCTTCTTGTTTCTGTTGATGGAGCCAAATCTGAAGCTCCCTAAAGTTTGTGTCCCTGGGGTTCCTCTGCATTAGCAGTAGATCCTGAAAAGAAATGTCTTTAATGGCCCATCTTTTCTTTTTCTTTTTATTTATCTTCTATATAAATAAAAATGTAAATGTTTGTTTGTTCAAAACCTTAAATCTCCGAAAGTTCTTCACCGATTGCTTTGAAATTTTGACACAACGTTGCATTCGAATATGCGTGTGTTTTTATATACCTATTACTATCTGTACCCGGCCATGCGTTGCTGTGGCTCAGTCTGGTTAAATGGAAAAGAAAGAAGAGAAAGCGCACGTTTTGACGCGGATCTGCTGTTTCTCATTGACGTCTTTCAGCCACTCTCAGCCTGTCGCGTTCATTCTGTTGAGAACGAAGCAGATCTTGAAGCTGCAGAACGCGATCCCCGTGCTCGCTGCGCTCGCCACTGTGCATCCTCAAGTCTGGCTGCACGTCGCTCTGCTGCTTCCTCGGCACGTTTTTGAGCCATTCTTTGTCTGTTTCGCTCGTTCGCTGATGCCCGTTCTTCCTCAGTCTGATTTGCAATTACTCGTCGCACTGCTTCCGCTCTGCGAGTACGACGACCTAAGTTTGATCTTCTGCGAGGCATTATTTTGATGAACTAAAGCAGATCGATTGCACTGAGAAAGAAGAAAGTTATAACAAAAACATATAAAATTGCAAAACATTAAGAAAGGAAAAAACATGAACTAAAAAACAAAGAAAAAACAAAAAAAAAATCAAAAATACTAACGAAATATTTTAATTCAAACGCAGATCAATCGACACAGCTCAATTCCACCGCCAATTGCACTGAAAAATAAGAAAAATAGTTTAAAAAAACGGAATGAAAAACAATGAAAAAATAAAAAAATAAACTATACTCACGAAATGAACGTTATGGTAAACGACACTGCTCAATTCCAACGCATTGTCACACGAAATAATTAAATCAAAATGAAAATAAATCGAAATCTATGAAAATTCAATTTAACAATGCAATTGGAAACATTGAAATGGAATTGTAAAATTGGAAATTTGGAAAATGTAAATGGATTGTAAATCAAAAACATTGAAATGGAATCGTAAAATAGTATAGCTTGTGTTGCTTTTACGTCCAACAGATGGCACTGTTTTTCAAAAAAAAGCATGTTTTTACCTGTCATAGGTATGACATCTATATAATAGGTATATAAAAACACACGTGTATTCGAATGCAACGTTGTGTCAAAATTTCAAAGCAATCGGTGAAGAACTCGGGAGATTTAAGATTTTGAACAAAGGAAGATTTACATTTTTATTTATATAGAAGATATAGATGTCACACATGTGACAGGTAAAAACATGCTTTTTTTTTGAAAAACAGCACCATCTGTTGGATGTAAAAGCAACACAAGCTATACTAAATATTTTACGATTCCATTGCATTGTTTCTTATTTACTATCCATTTACGATTTCCAATTTTACGATTCCATTTCAGTGTTTCCAATTGCATTGTTAACTTGAATTTTCATAGATTTCGATTTATTTTCATTTTGATTTAATTATTCCGTGTGACATTGTGTTGGAATTGAGCTGTGTCGTTTACCATAGCGTTCATTTCGTGAGTACAGTTTATTTTTTTTTCTTTTTTCATTGTTTTTCATTTTGGTTTTTTAACTGTTATTTTTCAGTGCAGTTGGCGATTGAATTGAGCTGTGTCGATTGATCTGCATTTGAATTGAAATATTTCATTAGTATTTTTTATTTTTTCTTTGTTTTTTAGTTCATGTTTTTTCCTTTCTTAATGTTTTGCAATTTTTATGTTTTTGTTATAACTTCCTTCTTTCTCAGTGCAATCGATCTGCTTTAGTTCATCAAAATAATGCCTCGCAGAAGATCAAACTTAGGTCGTCGTACTCGCAGAGCGGAAGCAGTGCGACGAGTAATTGCAAATCAGACTGAGGAAGAACGGGCATCAGCGAACGAGCGAAACAGACAAAGAATGGCTCAAAAACGTGCCGAGGAAGCAGCAGAGCGACGTGCAGCCAGACTTGAGGATGCACAGTGGCGAGCACGGCGAGCACGGGGATCGCGTTCTGCAGCTTCAGATCTGCTTCGTTCTCAACAGAATGAACGCGACAGGCCGAGAGTGGCTGAAAGACGTCAACGAGAAACAGCAGATCCGCGTCAAAACGTGCGCTTTCTCTTCTTTCTTTTCCATTTAACCAGACTGAGCCACAGCAACGCGTGGCTGGGTAAAGCTAGTTTTTAAATATATTCGTATTGATTTCAGAGAGGAAGGGAGAAGGAGAGAGAGAGAGAAACATCAATGATGATAGAGAATCATTGATTGACTGCCTCCTGCACCCTCCCGGGCCCCGACTGGGGACTAAGCCCGCAACCCAGGCATGTGCCCTTGACCAGAATCAAACCCAGGACCTTTCAGTCTGCAGGCTGATGCTCTATCCACCGAGCCAAGCCAGCTAGGGCAGTAGCCTATGTTCTTAAAGAATGTGCTAGATTTTCTGACATTTTTTACAACCAAGGCTGTGCCCTTTATTCTATGATGACCTCAGAATTTAGCTCTTTATGAGAATATTTTTCTTAATTTCAATGATTTTTTTTATTTTATAGCCTACATGAATGTGATTTCTTCCATATAACTGAGCATTTTCTTATATGCTGTTAATACTTTTATGCAGGTTGTTTTTGAATGTGTCATTTCTGCACAGTATATTTGCAATTTTTTTTTAGGCATGGGTCATGCTCTTTTAGTAATCTTGTGCTCTGCATCTAATAAGTACTAAATAACTACAGGGACTTTTAAACTTCTTTAATTCTCTCAGAATACTGACCTTTATGGCAGGTACAGATTGGTAGGGCTTGAGTTAAGGCAATTTAAATATGTTGGTCTCTAGAGTTAGAGGAGTGATATATGAGTATTATGAGATTAGGTTACATTATTAGATTATCACCTGTCAGTTTTTTGGCTCACATGTTATTCTCGGTAAAGTATACATTCATTCACATGCATTAAAACAGTCCTCAAATTCTGATGTAACTAAAGTAAGTAATTCTCTCTTGTTGAAACCTACACAAAATTCTCATCTTTTCTCTGGGATTTAAGATAAAAAGAACTATTGAATTTATAACTCATGAAAATGGTGCCAGTGCTCTTGAAGAAAAGTTATTTAGGGAGGGTTGAATTGATTCATTAATACCTAATTCTGACTCCTATAAGTGTATATTCTCATTTATTTTGATTGCATGTATAATATTTTTTTATACTTACTTTATTTTCATCAGGTACAAAGAATTTTACGTGAAAGATTTTGTCATCAGAGTTCACATAGTAACCTATTTGGAGTACAAGTACAATATAAGTAAGTTTGGCTATTCCCTTGTATGTTATGAGTATACTTACAGATGCTCTGTAGGTTTTGCAGATACTACCATATACAAATTTTATCTTAAGCATTGCTAATGAACCTTTTGCTTTGGGTATAGAAACATTGAGTATCATGAAGCAAGAGAGATATAAGTATTTCCATAATAAGAAAGCCTTTTAACTTTTAGTCTTACGTTGTTTTTGTCATCTGGTATTGTAGAGATAATTCTGCTCTTCTTATACCTAAGACTTGGCAGCCAGTTGTAAAGTGAAAGGGCCTAAGAGCTGCCACTGTTGTCACTTACCCCATACTAGCATAAAGACCAAGATATTTCAGACTTACTTGATTTCTTCTTGTGGTTTCCAGAGAATCAGTATTAGCCAACAGCCTGTTTCTGTATAGGACTATATAGAGTATAAGTCAAGTGCCCAGAGGGGAAGAAAAAAGGAATACCTGTTTTCTATGCATATTCAAATTTAGCTTTAAAAAATAATACCTAACAATTATTCTAGCTTTTTAAATTTGGGCCTGTTTATATAATTTCAGACACTTAATTGAGCTGCTAAAAAGAACTGCTATCCATGGAGAAAGTAACTCTGTTCTCATTATTGGACCCCGAGGATCAGGAAAGACCATGGTAAAGCTATTTAGTTCTGGTGTTTGCTTTGGCAGGCTTGTGACTATTCCTGTAGACAACGCTGAAATGTATCTCATTATTTTGTTAACATTTTGCTTTTTTTCCTTAAATCATTGAAAACATGAAAAGCCTTATAAAGTTGGGGCGATATATTTGAGTTGAGCTATCTTTTTTGCCTTGTTTTTCCCCACAGTGACAAGTTTCAGTTGATGTTTGTTTAATCATGGTCTTCTGTCCTTGAAGAATTAGTGATTGCCAGTGGAAAAAGCAAACTAGCATTTATTGGACATGTACCTTGTGCCTTTTATCTTTGCTTTATCATTTATTGTTTACACTAACCCAGTAAGATAGGTTTTGTCTCTATTTGTGGATTAGGTAACTGTCACCAATGCATTCTTTTTTTCTCATTATTTTATTGTTTAACCCTAACATAAACAATTTTTTCATATGTCCATTCACATTTTCTAGATTTGTCTTCTACTTTCCCTCGTTATCATATTTGCTTAGTTGTCTCATTTTCTCTTTTCACATTCTTTATACAGAATATGAAACCAATTATGTCTGTCACACTGAAAGTATTACCAAACCATTTAATTTTAAATAGGTGGGCTGTGTAAAATTTATTTAAACAGTGTTCTCTAAGAAATGGAAATTAGAACTTTTGGATTTTACTGTTTTCCATTACCAGTATTGTTTGAAAGATATAAATTGGTTGTATAGATCTATGGAAGGAAGTGGTGCCTAGAAGGAAGGTTAATCAGAAGTACTAGGCAACTGTCACTGACAACCACCACAGCTAACTTGTTTTTAGTTCATGTGATTTCCCCTATCTGGTTGCTTGTAGAGTTTCTTTATATTAGCAGTTAAAATTTCACAGGTTATATCTAAATGTTGATCATAAAAATTGGTATTCTTCAGATCCTCTTAATGTGAATTTAGATCTTTTCTTCTATAAAAGATTCTCTCCCTGCTCCCCCATTTTTATTATTATACTAGAATTTGCATGCACTGGATGGGAGTCCCTCAGCCCGGCCTGCCCCCTGTCACAGTCTAGGAGCCCTCAGGGGTGGGAGGTGACCTGGTGATCAGGGGAAGGCGATGCCCCATCACACCTCTGCTGCTGCCACTGCCAGCAGCGCAAGCCTTGGCCGGTCCTGGTTACCTGAGCCTTGGGCGGCCCTGGGCCTCTGGGCAGCTGCCATCCGAGGCTTGCCTGCGCCTCGGGCCAGCCCTGGGGGGTTGAGGGGACTGAGGGACTCTGGAGGTTGGGGGGCTGAGGGAATTGGGGGACATCTTGTGACTGTGGTGCCACCATCTTTGAGGGCGGGGCAGTCAATTAGCATATTCCCTCCTTATTGGCTGTGGACACCCCCATCTGGTGTGAGGGTCAATTAGCATATTCTGTCTTTATTAGATAGGATCTGGAAGACACATCATCATAGTAATGTTTGAAGAACATTTTTAGATAAAACTTTAATTTTCAAGAAGCTTCATAGTGATACTCTTGTATCAATACAGAAGAAAATGAGATTTAGGAAATCAGTGCATTAGGTCTATCCCATCAAAACTGTGCATCTTGAAACTAAATGGCACTACAACAGGAAAGTTGAATATCAGTAATTTGTACATCAATGTCAAGCTGAAAAGTACAACTTGAGTGGCTGATTGAATTTGTTCTGAACTTCACCTTGGAAGTTTGTCTCTATAGGCATGGAGAAAGTTCAGAAAAAAAGAAATAGAGCTAAACACTTATAAAAATGTATAACTAAATACAAATTTTAACTATACACCATTTCATTAGAAAATGGGCTAAAAAATATATATTTTTTACCAGAAAAATTAAGCAGATACTACAAAGTTCCCATATTATTCTCCCCTACTCCTTCCCCATACACACAATTTCCCCTACTATTAACACCTTGACTTAGCATGGTACATTATAATCAATGAATTGATCTTGATACATTATCATTAAAGTCCATAGTTTACATTAAGGTTCACTCTTTGTGTTGTACAATGTAATGGGTTTTAACAAATACATAATGTATCCACCATTTAAGTGTCATACAAAATAACTTCACCATTCTAAAAAATCCCCTGTATTTTATTATCTCACCTCCAACCCCTCTCAATGACTTATGTTTCACTGTTTCCATACTTTTGCCTTTTTCAGAATGTCATATAGTTGGGATCATACAGTATAGAACCTTTTCATATTGTCTTCTTGCACTTAACAATAAGCATTTAAGGTTCCTCCATGATATTTCATGGCTTGGCAGGTCATTTCTTTTAATTGCTGAATAATATTCCATTGCATAAATGTACCACTATTTATTTACCTATTGAAGGACATCTTGTTTGGTTCTGATTTTTAGCAATTTGAATAAAGTTATTCTAAACACTTGTGTGCAAGATTTTATGTGAATGTAAGTCTGCAACTTAATTGGGTAAATACTTAGGAGCACCAATTGTTGCATCATATGGTAATACTATGTTTAGCTTTGTGAGAAGTTGACAAACTGTCTTCCAAAATAGTTATACCATTTTGCTTCTTACTAGCATTGAATGAGAGTTTCTTATGCTATGTGTCTTCACAAGCATTTGGTATTGTCAGTTTTTAAAATTTTAGCCATTCCAGTAGATACACAGTGCTATCTCATTGCTTTTCTTGTTATAGTTCTTTATTGGTGTATGATATTGAGCATCTTTTAATGTGCTTATCTTTTTTTAAAAATATATTTTATTGATTTTTTACAGAGAGGAAGGGAGAGGGATAGAGAGTTAGAAACATCAATGGGAGAGAAACATCGATCAGCTGCCTCCTGCACACCTCCTACAGGGGATGTGCCCGCAACCAAGATACATGCCCTTGACCGGAATCAAACCTGGGACCCTTCAGTCCTAAGGCCGACGTTCTATCCACTGAGCCAAACCGGTTAGAGCAATGTGCTTATCTTTTATCTGTATATCTTTGGTGAGATACTTTATGATTGTTTTAAATTGGGTTCTTATTGATGTTTTAAGAGTCATTTGTGTATTTTGGATATATCAGATATATGTTTTCCAAATATTTTCTCCCAGTCTGTCCTTTGCCCTTTGAATTCTATTAAGAATGATTTTGGAAGGGAAGTTTTTAATTTAAAAGAAGTCCAACTTGTCGGCTATTTTTTTCATGGATTGTGATTTTGGTGTTGCCTCTAAAACTTCATCACCAAAACTCTGGCTCTCTAGGCTCTCTACTGTTTTATTTTCTAGAAGTTTTATAGTTCTTTGCATTTACATTTGCATCTGTGATTCATTACAAGTTAATGTTTGTGAAAAGTGTAAAGTCAGTGTCTAGATTCATTTTTTTTTGCATATGAATATCCAATTCTAACACCATTTATTGAAAAGACTATCTTTTCTTTATTGAATTACCTTTATCTCTTTATGAAAGATCAGTTGACCGTATTTGTATGTGTCTCTTTCTGGGCTCTCTATTTTGTTTCCATTATCTGTTTGTTCTTGCACTGGCATCATGCTGTCTTGATTACTGTAGCTTTATAGTTAGCCTTCAAGTTCCATAGTGTCAGTCTTTCAATTTTTTGCTTCTTCAATATTCAATATTGTTTTGGCTATCCTGGGTACTTTGTATTTCCATATTAACTTCAGAATCAATTAACTACAAAATACTGGGAACTTTTGTGTTCAATTGTGGGATTTTGTGTTGAATCTGTATATCACATTGGGATGATTCGGTTTATTTATATTGAATCTTCACATTCATGAACATGGAATATTTTTTCCATTTATTTATTTATTATTTATTTAGGTCTTTCACCAGGATTTGTGGTTTTCCTCATGCAGAACTTATACCTACTTTGTTAGATTTATATCTAAGCATTTAAATGTTTTAGTGTTAGTGTGAATAGTATTATGTTTTTAATTTCATGTTCCAAGGGTTCATTGCTGATAATGCGGTGAAACAAATGCCATGTGTGTATTACTTGTATCTTCCCACCTTGCTATAATTAATTATCAATTCCAGGAATTTACCGATTCTTTGGGATTTTCTACATACACAGTCATGTCATCTGCAAACAAAAAAGTTTTATTTCTTGTCTATTTCTATCCATACCTTTTATATCCTTTTTTTTGTCTCATTGCATTAGTTATTCACAGGCTCTGTTTAAGTATTGATCATAAAATTAACTGATATTATACAAACTTTCTTAATATGAATTAGGTCTTCACTAAATAATAATTTAATTTTTGATATTTCTTCTGTTTCTTTTTGTCCTTTCTTAGAATTATTCAGTTATTAAACTTTTGTTCTCACTTCTTCATGTCATTTCGCCATGTTTCTCTTCTTTTATCTTTTTCTTCCTCTTCCTCAGCATTCTATCATTTCACCAATGTGCTTTTCTTCACCATTAGTTCTGTTGTTTGCTTCTTGTAATGTAATGTCGCATTTTAGTTTTCTAACAATCCTTCCTGCTTGTCTAGCTCCTTGTCCTGAACCTTCTGAGTCTGCTATTTTGTGTTTGTCTGGGTCTGGCTTAAATAGCTTGAAACATTTTTTCTATATACGTTTTCAGTACTAATTAATCTTTATCGTCAACCTGCCTTTCCTTTTCTTTCATGTTACATCTTTTTTTTTTTAATGAATTCCTATGTCAACTTTTTCTGCTTACTCAGGTTTAAAGAAGGACATGGCCATTACAGCATAGTATTTATCAGTTAATAAAATGGATAGACTATTGGCATAATGACAGTTTATCCAGTTGTTGCTACTTCTTAAACTAGAGCCCTCTTCTGGTACTCTGAAGTCATTTATTTAATGTGACTTCACTGGAATATGGAAGAATCCCTTACTTGGTATTGTATTTTGGTATAATTTAATTTATGCTTGCTGCACTCCAATATTGAGAGGTCAAAGAGCTGAGGATCATTGTTTATCTGTGCCACTTTCGTAATTTGCTTTGCTTGGGACTATCCTAAGATATAAAATAGGTTATTCTTAGACAAGAGCTCTCATTAATTTAATTATGTAAATTAAAATTTAAAAATAAGATTCCAGCATATTTAATAACATTATACTTTGTCTGTCTGAAATATAAAAATTCAAAATCTGCAGTTGATTAAGGGGTTAGAGGGTGGTGGTTAAGGGGGCCTAATAGATGGTGAAGGAAGATAATTTGACTCCGGGTGGTGGGAAAAATAATATACAGTTGATTGATAAATATCATAGATAATGTGGCTTGTTGTATTTCAAACATTTCGTTCCAAATGACAGATTGGACCCTGGAAAATACTGTTCTTTATAAAAATAAATTACTGTAAACAGAAACTTAATAGATGGTTAAATAGGATGTTTCTTCTGATTGATGTTTCTTCTACTTGCGTATTGCTGAATGTTGTGTTTATTAAAGTATTTAGAAATAGTAATTTTAGTAAGCATAAAAATCCATAGATGCTGGAAGTTCTAAGCAAACTCTCCTAGTAGATTTGTAAAATTAGTTTTCAGGTAAAAAAAAATGTGGAAACAGGGTAGCCATATTGGTTATGCTGGTTGGTGTAACATTAATAACCAACTAGCTTTTTAGTATATTATATAGTTTAAAGTATTTGAAAAGGTGACAGTATATCCATGAGAAAACTGACTGAAATTATAGAATTGGTTATCTAGCTAATTACTAAATTTTAGCAGTATTCAGACTGGAACAAAAATTATATGAAGACATACTTGCTAATACATTTAAATTATTGTTTTAGTACACACACACACACCCCATTCAAAAGGCTGTGAGTTGATCTAGGCAAATCATGACAGCTTAATGCCTAACGTAAAATCTGGAAAGAGTGCCCTATGAACCTGTTATAACTCTCTCTATGCATATGTAGAATGAAGGTATTATTATTAACCTTATTTCATTTGGTAAAGAAATTGAAATGCTTTTCAACAATTCAGCAGACATAAAATAATTTAAATCATAAAATCAGAGCTTGAGATATATAAGTGTTATATAAATAAAATATCAAGAGGTGGGGGCAAGAACATAGCAGATTACTAAAAAAATAGGGCAAAAGTCGTATTTTGAGAGCCCAAGTTTATGTCCGCTGGGGACAAACTCTTGTAGTATGGAAAGACTTGACCCAAAGGCAGAGAAGCACCACCTCTTCTTCTGACAGTTCTTCATAAAGAATTTCACATCTCAGCCAGGCTTTAATGCATATAACAATTGATATTTCCATATTGTCCCTTGTAAAGAGGACCTGGAGTGCCGCTGTTATGTTTGATATCCTGTTGTGCAACCTAGTAATTTAAAATGAGGATATTTGTTTCTTCCTATTGCACAAAGATGCTATAGTAACAGATAGAGGATAGGCTATTGTAAAAACAAATAGTATTTTGTTTTTCAAAATAGTTTACCAGTCATCCCAGTGACTTTTTTGAATAATTCCTTTTGTTCTCACTAAATTTTGATGCCATCTTAATTAATTTTTTTCTATATGCTGTGAGTGGTAAGATGTCACAATTTAAAAAGTATAATAAAAAAATGTAAGTATGTGGATTAGAAACCTATAATTATAAAAATGTGCAGCTTTATAACTGAACAGTTTAAGGTGGTATAATAATCTCTGTGAATATTTTAGTAGTAATCTATATATGTAAAAGCCTAAGCAACCAGCTGACCAGCCAGTAGCTATGATGTGCTCTGACCACCAGAGGGCAGACGTTCAATGCAGGAGTGGAAACCACAGGCATGGAAACATGGAACAGACTGATGAATCTCAGAGGGAAGAGGGGAGTCAGGGAAGAGATTAACCAAAGATCTTATATGCATACTAGAGGCCCGGTGCATGGATTTGTGTACCAGTGGGGTCCCTCAGCCTGGCCTGCGGGGATGAGGCTGAAACCAGCAGTCTGACATCCCCCGAGGGGCCCTGGATTGCGAGAGGGCACAGACTAGGCTGAGGGACCCTACTGGTGCACGAATCCAAGTACTGGGCCTCTAGTTATTATAAGTATATTAGTAGTAGGAATAATTTTTTCATTATAAGCACTAAGTTTCTGTAATAAGGACTTTCTCTGTATACCTAGAAACTAACAGAGGGAACTAAAGAATCTGCAATTGTATTTGTTAATTTAAAGTGGCAATCTGTTTATATCATTTCCACTGTTCATAGTTTAAAAAATAAGGGCTTATTAACTTTTAGCTATCATTAACTATTTTGTAAACTTTTTAATATTGTTTAGCTAATTAACCATGCTTTGAAAGAATTAATGGAGGTGGAAGACGTGAGTGAAAATGTATTACAAGTTCACCTAAATGGTAAGTGTGTCATTATTTTGCCACTGGAACTAATATAAATCATGTGCGCTTTTTATATTATGAAACTAAATCCACTTGTATGTTTTAAATTTGGATTCATAATTATATTTTTAAAACTAGATTTATGTCTAATAACTCTTAGCACACCATAAACAATATTTTTAGAAAATAAATAAATAAATAAAGGATGCACATAAAGACTTTCGGTTTTGTAGTGTGTTTTTTTCAATAACCCTAACTCCAGAGAAGATTGTTCTTTGATTCTACTAGATAGATGTCTTCATTGCTCAGGTGTAAAATGAAATATAAACTCACAGTCTGTGACTTTTTTCTTTCTAGTTAAATTTAAAAATCATTAAAAATTATTTGATTGGAAAATAACCTCAAATACATATTTCATTTTAATTAAATGCTTTTAAATGGGCTTTGTTTCAGGACTGCTGCAGATCAATGATAAAATAGCTCTAAAGGAAATCACAAGGCAGTTAAATCTGGAAAACGTAGTTGGAGATAAAGTTTTTGTACGTATAACTTCTATTCTTTTATTAAATAGTCATCAAAATAAAGTCTGTATTGTTACAGCTTTATATTTTTGTCATAAAAATGTATTAAGTACTAGGGTGCATTTATTTATCAAAACCAGGTTTATGTAGATACTGAGTTTGTTTATTTGTAAGATAAATATTCTGATTCTCTGTCTTTGGAGGTAAATTAATGTTTTTAAAAATACTATACTCTAGCAGTCTATTTCTAGTCGTCTGAGAGTTGGGTATCATGGGAGTGGTGGAAAAATGTGCTGAATTTTACACTACAGAAAAGGTGGATTTTAGTCTTGCTTTACAGCCTGGTGAGAATGATTAATGAATCCCCCTGAATTTCAGGTCCTCCTCTGTTAAATAGGCATTATCTTAAACTTACTGCACTAATTTATTTGGCAGACAAAAGAAAGCATTAAACATAATTTATGTTTTAAGAAAAGATACTTGATGGTAATACACTATACATATGCCAGTTATCTCGTACTATTAAAATGTTTTCAGATACTTGCCCATATCTCATTATTGTAATAGCTTGGAATCTAGGACAATGAATGTCATAACTTAAACTGATTAGAAATGTTTTGAAACTTGAAAATTTTTTTGCCTATCACTTGATTTATAGGGCTCAAGGGAACAATGATTAACTTAATTTTCAACTTCTTTAATTTTCATAATGAAATGACTTATCCTCATACTACCTATGCATTTGAAGTGGGTTATATACGTTCCTAGTTCATTTTCTGGTCTCTGGTAATTATGCAGTGCTGTCACTCTCCTATGCAGCTTCACAGCCATAGTTGTGAAAGCCTCCTAGCATGTCGTGATTCATTCTTTTGTAATTATCTCTAAAAACTTGAGCCCAATCATATGTTACCCTTTCACTGTCTGCAGGTCTCTGAAGTGGAAGTTCAGAATGCCCCTTCTATTAATGTTCTATCTTCTGTTAGAATTTAATGTTGAAAATAGTCTGCTACTTGGTCAAGGAGAATTACTGTTATAGAGGCCCTGTTTTGCTTTTAGTTTCCTATTGATGTAAGATTGGTGTTTCCAACTTGCATATTGGATTCATACGAAATAATAAAAAGACATCGTTGTTTATCATCCTAGTCATCACTTTTGGTACCATAATTGTCACATAGAGATATTATTAATTTAACTTCTACATTGTATTCATTAGTCAGTCATCTGAGGCTCAGAGAGCATAAAAAGCTTGCCTAAAGTCGTAAAATAACAAAGGCTGGGCATTAAGAACCTGAGTCACTTATCTCAATCCAGAGCTTTTCTGTTCTGATATCCTTACAGCAAATTCGTATATTTTTATACGTATATATATTCATGTATATTTATATAAGTACATATATGTACATATGTATTGTATAGGTATATATTTAATGTTTGTATAATATGTACATATGTATTTGTACAGGTATATATCTAATGTCATGTACAACATTCTTTTAAAAAATATCCGGAAGAGAAGCAACCTTTGAGTAACATTGACCACTGATTTCCTAACAAATTGTCTCTGAGCCTTTGTTTATGTTATGGTAACTACTGCTAGCCCTGCTTACCTTGGAATAGTGTTGACGTGGCAGTTTGCAATCATCACAAAATATATGGAAACTCTTAAAAACTTACGCTATTTTATATCAGTTCTTTCATTAGGAAACAAATAAATGGGTTTCCTCTCTCTTCTACATCTCAAATTTAAAGTTGGCTGTTTCTTTAAATTAAAAAATCCAAAGTATAGTAATGATTTTAATGAAAAAATATTTTAATAGGGCCTTTATCCACAAGCTGTAACATCTGGATAATACATCTGCAACTCTAAATTTTTATCTGGAATATTTAAGTTGTATGTAAAAATGTTTTGGTTGTGGTTCAGTTAGCCAAATTTGATATGATAATACATATTGTGTAAAATGCTCTTGAATAGAGATTCACTATTATAGTATCTAATATTTGAGGCAAATTTCTTCTCCCTTTTACTTTTGGATCTCATTTAAATTCATTTTTTAGTGGTAGAAGTTAATTTGTGACTTTCAAGAGCCTGATGTTTTTGACGATACAAAGTGCAATGGATTTCTAATTCTCTGACTATATTTATAATATAGCAACTCTTAATAGCCCCAACCTGGTGGGTCTGTTGGTTGGCGCGTCATCCCGTAAACCAAAAAGTTTGTGGGGCGAGTACAGGAGACAAGTGATCAATGTTTCTCACATCAGTGTGTCTCTCTCACATCACTGTTTCTATCTAAAAATCTAAAATCAATGTACATATCCTCAAATGAGGATAAAATAAAAAACTCCCTTTAAATAACATTAACAGTTTTATGTATTTTATCAAGAAAATAGAAAATTTTGAACACTACGTAGTAATGTCACTTTCAGAGCTATGCCATCTCTGCTTTTATATTTAAATTTCATATTGTAAGCATAGATATATTCAACTGAGAATATGGCCAATGACTCTAATCCTATATAATAAAGCCTAATATGCTAAGTGTCCAGTCGACTGGTCTGCCATTCAACCAATCAAAGCATAATATGCTAATGATATGCTAAGGCTGCTCAACCTCTCACTGTGATGTGCACCAACCATCAGGGGGCAGACAGTCAACTGGTCGGCCAGTTGCTATAACGTGCACTGACCACCAGGGGGCAGACGCTCCAACCGGTAGGTTAGCTTGCTGCTGGGGTCCGGCCTTTCAGGACTGAGCGAGAGGGACTGGACATGCCCTAGAGCCCTCCCATGGTTCCTCCCCAGCTGGCCAACCTCCTGTGTCTCTCCCCGGCCCCAATCAATCATGCACCAGTGGGGTTCCATGGCCTGGCCTGCACCCTCACAATACGGGACACCTCAGGGGATGTGGGAGAGCCAGTTTCAGCCTGATCCCAGAAGTCAGGCCAAGGGACCCACTGATACATGAATTTGTGCACCAGGCCTCTAGTTTACTATGAAAAATGAGTATCTATATAATGTCTAAGAATTAGATACAGGGTGTGTCTACATAATGTTTAAGGGCCAGATAACCTTTCTGTTTTTTTATTTAATAAACTTCTAGTCATGGTATTTGTTTGTTTGTTTTTTGTTTTTGTTACTCAGGGAAGCTTTGCTGAAAACCTTTCATTTATTCTGGAAGCTTTAAAAAAAGGTAAATATTAATATGTTTAACAGTATCAAGCATATTTGTTTAGCTGTAGTTTCCCCTGATTATAAAGATAATAACATGATTTTACAAAAAAATTAGTAAAGAAATATTATAAAAGAAAATAATAGTCACTATATTCCCACACTATTATAGTGATTATCTCAATTTAACTTTGGTTTTATGTCTTTATTCACCTGCAGTATATCATTGATATAAGTAAAGTAATTTTCATAAGAATACATTTATTTTCCATATTGTGTAGTCTACATCTTTTCATTTACAAACAGTATATTGTGAGCATTTTTCCATGACAGTAAAAAATGCTGCATTATCATTTTTATGGTTCTTATATATTTCATTTTATAAATATAAATTAACTGTAATTAAAAATATACATTATAACTTATTAACCACCATTTATGGGTTTTTATTTCTAATTTTTGTTATTGTGAAGAAATTCATAGATAGTCATCCAGATATTTCCTGGGGAAAATTTCAGTGAGTAGAATTCTGGATTAAAAGGTACAACAATTAAACTACCTTAGAAGGCCCATTTTCTAAACATATTTCAAGAATACCTTTTTCTTAACAATTTCAAAAACAAGTATTTATTTTTATATTTGTCTATTTAATAGAAAAATTATTAGTTTAATTTGCTTAATTTTGGTAATGATGATCATCATTTTCTGTTTTTATTGACCATTGACATTTCCTGGTTCATGTGTTTCCTATGGTTCTGTCTTATTTTGATGTTTAGCTTGTTTGTTTGTTTGTTTGTTTGTTTATGGGAATTCTTGCACTTAAAAACAACACTTAATGTTTCTCTTCTCTTAAATTTGGGTTGGATTATCTGCTGAACAGAGTTTTAGAATTTTTACATAGTCAAAATTTTTTCTCTCCAGATTTAAAAATACTCAATTATGTTTTCATCTAATACTTATAATTAATAATTTGGCTAGAATTTATTTTGGTGAGGTGTAAAGTGGAGCCTTAACCTTGAATAAACCACTTTTCCCCATTAATATGTAATGCTATGTTTTACCAATACTAAATTTCTAATAATGTAGGCCTGTTTCTAGACTTCTGAGCCGTTCCTGTGGTTTTTATGCCATTTAGGTTAGTGTTAAATGTTTTATTACCTGTTCCAGTGAGTGTCCCCTTATCAGATTTTCTTGTTACTTGTTTTTGCAAATATAAAGTCCTAAACCTTAAAGTAGTAGTGATTCTTTTGCTAAAGCTGATTCTGTTGTGATGAGAACAATGAATTCACAGAGTCATGTTGAACTTTTCCCTGTTGAAATATTAAAGTTGTGGTTAGAAGGAATTATAGTGGTTCTGATTGAATTTCACAGTCTAACCATTGTTTATAAAAATTATTTCTAAGGGAAGATATACTTTGCATTTCTAGCTAAATGAATCTTTTCTGAAATAATAGTTTTGAGCATAATGACTCTTTATATTTAATCTCAAAATGATTTGGTCTGTGTAGGTATTAAAAGTTCTTTGTAAATTTTCTGGTGCTAGAAGGACTCTGTTTACATAATTTTAAAAACAATAGTCTCCATTTATTTAAATCATTTTCATCAATAAACTACTAGTAACTAGACTGAAATACCTAAGGCTATCTTGTCCTGTGAGTAATTTTGTTGAATAAATAAATTGATGTGCATTGTTAAATATCCTACCCGAAGTAGGTTATCAATAATTGTTCGTTGAATTAAGTTTTAAAAAGTGAAATGTAGCCCTGGCTGGTTTGGCTCAGTGAATAGCCTGTGGACTGAAACGTCACAGGTTCGATTCTGGTCAGGGGCACGCGCCCAGGTTGTGGGCTCGATCCCCAGTGGTGGGCTTGCAGGAGGCAGCCCATCAGTGTGATTCTCTCATCATTGATGTTTCTATCTATCTTTCCTTCTCCCTTCCTCTCTGAAATCTATAAAAATATATTTAAAAATAAATAAAAATAAATAAAAAGTGAAATGTAGTAAGTAGTATGGAAATTTAACAAAGGTTAATATAATTGCTGTTAATAAAACTCTTATTTTATCTTAGGTGACCGGACTAGTAGTTGTCCAGTGATCTTCATATTAGATGAATTTGATCTTTTTGCTCATCATAGAAACCAAACACTCCTCTATAATCTTTTTGATATTTCTCAGTCTGCACAGACTCCAATAGCAGTTATTGGTCTTACATGTAGATTGGTAAGTCTTTTTTTTTTTTTAATTAAAAAATTGTAGTGTTTAAAAAGTTAAAGCTTAATTACCAACATAGTCACTTATGTAGGTCATGATATCAGGCATTTTTCAAATGTGTTTCACCGATGCCTGGTGCATTTATCCCATTTTTCAAATCAGATTGAGGAAAATAAGAACACAGTTAATCACTCATAATCATAAATACCTGTCTCTTCAACAGAATCACTAAGTGAAAAAAATGAAGTCAGATTATGCTAATAAATACAATATTTCTACATTAGCAAGTAAAGTGAAAGTTAAATAATCTTACCATAACTTGATTAAATTCACCAATAGTGTATATCTTTAACATTTATGATTCTTCCCATATTTGAAAATGCTTGGAATCAACTCAGAATGATACTGTTTTAACTTTGTAAATATACACCACTGGAAATGAGGTTCATGTACTTGTTCTCTTTTTCAGTACTTCTTTGTCTTTTTTTTAGAAAAGTGAAACTTTTTACAAAGTCATCTTCCAACAGTCCGCCTAGTGCTGTTTTTTCTGTCCAGTGGCTTTTCCCGCCTTCCTTCCCCAGTGCTCCAGAGCTTATGATATATGCCTTCATAATAAGCCTCCCTCGTAGAACATCGGGCTGGTTCTCCACATAACTATCCTGCCTTGCTAGAAGCAGCAGTCTGTCATGGGATTGAGGCATCTTCTTGTTAAAAAAAAAAAAAAAAATCTTCCTTTGGATGGAAGTGGCAGTGGCAAATATTATTGATCCAGTTAAGGACCAAATAAAGCAGGAGTGGGGAATTTCTGGCCTGTGGGCCATATAAGGACCCTGAAATCATTTGGTCTGGTCCTGCTAAGGCTTTTGAGTTAATTAAATGTTTGACCAAATATAGAAGGCTAATTTTTAAGTTGATAATTTTGTATGGCCCACAAATGATGTTATAAATATCCAAATGGCCTTTGACAGTAAAAAGGGTCCCCACCCCTGCTCTATATAATTGATTTCTTAACCTAGCTGTTTTATGAAAATCATCTTGGTAGATTAGAAATCCATATTTCTAGGGCTTATCACAGCTTCTTTAAAAAAAATAAAACTTTTTAATTATAGAAAGTTGGCAATAAACTTGATTTATAACTTCTTAAGGAAAAATAGCATAAATATAAGTAGTTTCTAAAATATCACCATAGAAAAGCCACAGGACAATCACATACCATTGTCATGCTGTGTTTCTGCCAGTTTCTCTTCTGTAATTTGTTCCTTTGGCCTAGCATGGCTTCAGCTTAAGTTTGTGGATATTTCAGTGAACTGAACATTTCTCCATTACACATACTGCTTACTTAAGTCATTGTTACATAAAACAATGAAGATGTTTAGATTTTCATGAATGTAATAAGTCTTAGTACAAATGTTCATCTTAATTTTTTATCTGAATTCTTCATAGAATGTACAGAATTCCTTGAAACTTTTAATGTTACTATGACAAATAACTACTCAATAATAGTTACAACTTTTTTTAGCAATTATTATAAGTGTTAGAATGTTGAAGATTAGCTGAGATTAACATGGTAGGTAAAACGCATGACATCACCGGGCCTACAGATTCTTTTAAAGGAGATTAAAATAGCATGCATAACAGAATCTTTTAGAGCAAGGGTGGGGAATGTCTGGCCCTTGGGCCATATAAGGCCTGAAAAATTATTTGGTCTAACCCTGCCAAGGCATTAGGGGGTGAGTTAAATGTTTAACCAAATATAGCAGGCTAATTTTTAAATTGATAATGTTGTATGACCAGAGAATGATGTTATAAATATTCAAATGGCCCTGGGCATAAAAACGGTTCCCCATCCCTGTTCTAGAGGCTTGGTTTATTTCCAAGCCACACTCTCTTACTTCTACTGCCTTTTAACAGTAAAGAGATCAAGGGAATAATTTGAGTATTTAGTGGTTTTCATAATTTTTTTTTATCCTTAATTTAATATTATAAGATAGGCATTGCTAATTTTAGATAATAGTTTAAATACTTAAATTTCTAACATTGACTTTTTTTTAACATGCATCTTACAGGAATTTCTGTTTGTTTTTAAGGATATTTTGGAACTCTTAGAAAAAAGAGTGAAGTCACGATTTTCTCACAGACAGATGCACTTAATGAATTCATTTGGTTTTCCCCAGTATCTTAAAATATTTAAAGAACAATTATCTCTACCTACAGAATTTCCAGACAAGCTTTTTGCTGAGAAGTGGAATGAGAATGTTCAGGTAACTTGGAGCAAAAGTAATAATATCAAAATGATTTTTGTATCTTGCTATACCATTTGAAAACAAAACTTAGAAATATTTAAAATTTCTGAATTAGTACAAAGTTTCTAATGTACTATTGCATAAAACTGCATGACTACTAATTATACACTTTTTCTGTGTGCATATTATCTTCTTATACAAAACTGTCCAAATGTCATAGCTCCTGAATTTTTCTCTCAAAAGTACTTTAATGAGCTTTTTGTTTTATTTATATCTGTTTTATATTTTAGGTTATTTTGTTGAAGCATTTCCATCACAAAAATTATTTTTATTTTACTTTTTAAGTTTAGCAATATATTATATTAGTGATTCATATCTACCTATCCAGTGTGGATTTTTCCCCCCTCTAATTCTCATAAAGAACTTTATCTTTTATCTCATCACGTATATTAAAAGGCAATCCAGGTTATGGCAGTTGTGGTTATATTATATACATTGACGAAATCCATATTGGAGTCCATGGAGCCCTGAGGTTATTAGCTACAGAGGTACCTTCATATGTTGTTTTCAAGATTTACTAAACATGTGGACTCTGTTGATTTACCTACACTTCAAGCTTAACTTCTACAGACCACTGTTATGTCAGCCCAACATATTGGCATAAAGTCTGAATTGGCATAAAGTCAGTTTGTCTTATGCCGACAAGAAATTTCAGTTGGCAGGGAGAAAGGGAGAGGAAGTTCAATAACATAATTGAAGAACAGTGTTGCTAAATAAAGCCCACATAGTAGAATCTTGCAAAAATATGGGTCCTATGAAAGTGGAAAATAATAACAAAAAAGTCCTTCATTTTGAAAGCATTGGATAAAACTGGTATGTAGTATTAAATGCTAATGAGTGAGGATGATTAGATGTATGGATAATTAGAGTTACACAATTTATATTCACTGCCTCTAAAAAAGGATTGTTTTATAGTAAAGTAGTATTGATTTTATTCTTAAACTAGAGGCCCAGTGCACAAAAATTTGTGCACTCGGTGGGGAGGGGGTGGTCTCTCAGCCCGGCCTGTGCCCTCTCGCAGTCTGGGACCCCTCGGGAGATAATGACCTGCTGGCTTAGGCCTGCTCCCGGGTGGCAGAGGGCAGGCCTAATCCCTAGGTGCAGCCCCTGGTCGGGCTCAGAGTAGGGCCGATTGGGGAGTTGGGGTGCCGTCCCCTGTCACACTCAAGGCAGGGTCGATGGGGAGGTTGCGGCGCCACCCCCTGTCATGCACAGAGCAGGGCCAATCAGGGGGTTGGAGCGCTGCCCCCTGTCACGCACAGAGCAGGGCCCATCAGGGGGTTGGGGAGCTCCCCCCTGTCACGCACAGAGCAGGGTCAATCAAGGGGGTTGGGGAGCTCCCCACTGTCACGCACACAGCAGGGTCGATCAGGGGGTTGGGGAGCTACCCCCTGTCACGCACAGAGCAGGGTTCATTAAGGGGTTGGGGAGCTCCCCCCTGTCACTCACAGAGTAGGGCCGATAGGGGAGTTGGGGCACCGCCCCCTGTCACACACAGAGCAGGGCCGATCAGGGGGTTGGGGCGCCGCCACTGTCACACTCAGGGCAGGGCCGATGGGGAGGTTATGGCTGTACTCCGTCACACACAGAGCAGGGCCTGTGGGGTGGGGGGGTTGGGGCGCCGCACCCTGTCACACACACAGCCGCAGGGTGATCAGGGGGTTGGGAGCTCCCCCGTATCAGGCACAGAGCAGGGCCGATCAGGGGGTTGGGGTGCCTTCCCCTGTCAGGAACAGAGCAGGGTGGATAGGGAGGTTGTGGCCCCACCCCCTGTCACACACAGAGCCGCAGGGCGATCAGGGGGTTTGGGCGCTGCCCACTGTCACGCTGATCCTGGTGCCAGGAGGCCTCCCGGCTCCGCTGATCCCGGTGCTGGGAGGCATATTACCCTTTTACTATATAGAATAGAGGCCTGGTGCATGGGTGGGGGCTGGCTGGTTTGCCCTGAAGGGTGTCCTGGATCGGGGTGGGGGTCCCCACTGGGGTGCCTGGCCAGCCTGGATGAGGGGATGATGGCTGTTTGCAGCTGGTAACACACCCTTCAGGGTGGGGGTCCCCACGGGGTTGCCTGGCCAGTCTGGGTGAGGGGATGATGGCTGTTTGCAGCTGGTCACACACCCTTCAGGGTGGGGGTCCCCACTGGGGTGCCTGGCCAGTCTGGGTGAGGGGATGATGGCTGTTTGCAGCTGGTCACACACCCTTCAGGGTGGGGGTCCCCACTGGGGTGCCTGGCCAGCCTGGGTGAGGGGCTGAGGGCTGTTTTCAGGCTGGGACTGAAGCTCCCAACTGCTCCTTTTTTTCTTTTTCTTTTTTATTCTGGGCCAGCTTTAGCTCTGAGGCTCCAGCTCTTAGGCCTCCACTCCTGAAAGCAGGTATCTGGTTTGTTTCGTTTCTATATTCGAAACTCTGTATCCACTCCAGCTCTGAGATCCCGGGCTCGCTGAAAGCAGGTTTCTGGGGTTTTGTTTAGCTTCTATATTCGTTACAATGTTTCTTAAACTGCAGGCTCAGAGGCCGGCAAGGCAGGCGGGGAACATTGGAGTCCTCCGTCACTGAAGCAAGCAAGCCTCATGTTCAGTTTAAGCTGCCTGGCTGCCGGCCGCCATCTTGGCTGGCAGTTAATTTGCATATCTCGCTGAGTAGCCAATGGGAAGGGTAGCAGTCGTACGCCATTTACCATGTTTCTCTTTTATTAGTAACAATACCAAAATAAAAATGTACTTATTTTTCTCTTATATGATTCTTGTTTTTTTCCCATCTTTGTTGAAGTATAATCAACAAATTGAAAACAGTATATGTTTGTGGTGTTCAATTTAATGTTTTGATACACATATACATTGTGAAATACCATAATCAAGCTATTAAATATATCCATCACCTCACATAGGTATAATTTTTTTTTTACTTGTAAGTGTCAGAACACTTAAGATCTATCATGTATGTAAATTTCAAGGGTACAATACTATATAGTTAACCATAGTCACATTGCTTGCATAACTGAAACTTGATTCTTCTTTTAATAATAAAATATGGTCTGCTCATGTTAGCATTAGTAATTTTGACACATTTCATTTTTTAAATTAAAAGTTCATTGAACAAAATATAATCAGTTCATAAGAATATATGGTAAAAGTTAGAAATTTTCATTATGTCCAAACTCACCAGAGTAATTATTTAGTTTATAGCAATTCAGACTTTATGTGCAAAAACTAAACTTGTTTTTATTTAAAGGGTTTAACTTTACATATTTTTTAAAATACGTTTTTATTTATTTTAGAGAGAGAGAAAGGTAGAGGGAGAGATGGTAGCTACCCCACAACCCAAGCTTGTTCCCTGACTGGGAATCAAACCAGTGACTTCTTGGAGCATGGGTCGATGCTCAACCCATTGACCCACACTGACTGGGCAAACTTTTCATATTTTTTTTTGTTTTGCCTTTTATACTTTGTTCTGATTAATAATTCTATATCATTTTCTTGATATAACTATATGGAATTGTGTGTAAAAATGGCTAACTTTATCCTTAAAATTCAGATATTGTACCTTGGTATAATTAGGTGTGGGTCCTCCCTTCCAAATTCTTCCCCAAATTAGTCTTTCCTGGGACTCAGATATTTGTTAGCTCAGGCACGTTTTCTTTGATACTCTAACTATAAGATTACATTTTTTAGGAGAACTTTATAATTAGTACTCCCACGTTGTCCCTTCCTTTTCAAAGGTCTGGAATATCTGGTCAGAATCCACTTTTCAGTGAGTCACAGACTTTCACCTTCTGCAGCTCTTTAACTGACTGTTTTGTTACAACAATGGGTTTTCTGAGTGCTTTAGAGATTCAGATGTAATCTTTCACAGTAAATGTTTGTGCAGTTCCAGGACTTCTATTTCTATCCTTGCTCACTTTCTTTCCTAAAATGACTGATACCATCATCCTTCTTTCTGTCCTTCCCAGATACATTATATTCTGATCATCTTAGAGTGGGCATGTATATAAAGGAAGTATATGGTGGGTGTTACTGGTGAAGCAAACTCTGGATGACTCAGAAAATGGGTAACCATGTGGTTGTAGAGTGGCTAGGCCTAAGTTTTTTGGTCCCCTTTTTGCTGATCCTCTATCACTGAATTTAGCAACAGATGGTAGGAATGAACATGAGCACTATCCTGTCATCTTTTTGACAACCTTGTAGACTTTTATAAGGTAACACTAGTACCACTGGAGTTTGTGTCTCTTAGTTCTAATACTTTTTTTCCCCCAACCTAATCATTTGCCACCTTTTGGTATGCTTAATAAATGAACTTCACTTGAAAAATATATCAGGACCATGGCCAGAGGCCCTGTCCTATGAGTGGTAGTGGGGTGGGGACTGCATTAAGGGAGCTGTTCTTTCTCTCAGTGCTGACTGTTCAGGAAGTTTTTCTGATTCCAAAGTTAAATCAAAAGCAATGGTATAGGTCACCTATGGAATCTCAACCAAGAACTATCTTTAGGATAGTGTTGAATCTAGACCTCTGAATATCATTTATATCCCAAATGAGTCAATAAGTAAGAGAGAGCATGGCAGTGTAAGAGAAATCCCTATATAAATGAACATTTAAAAGAACCATAGCTAATTCTCCTCTAAGGAAATTTCTCCAAAGTACTATAGCTAAGTTCAAGGAAGATTTACCTATTGTCTTAAACCTTTCCTGTTTAGTTAACAAAAGGTGAGAAGTTTTAGCAGGAACTGACTAGGAGATTAGTACATATGCTGCTGCCTCTAAGTTATCCCTGGAGCAGCATGGGTCCTAAGGTGCAGGTGTAATTCTGTAACATTCTGCTTAGAATCTTACCTGAGGAAGGCACTGGCCTACCACACTGTGCAATCAGCACCATGAGAACCTGCTTCTGTGGCAGCTGTTCATGTGTTCATCAGCGAGAAGGAACGGTATCAGCTTCCCTGAGCAACAGAGGGCGTCTGCTTTATTTCTGGGAACTCCCCCATATTCCTGTGAGTGGTGATATCAGTCAGTCAGTTCTGTCTTATTCCCCTTACATTATTTCCTGATCCAGCCATAAGAAATTCAGTCATGTTTCAAAACCTGATATCTAATATCTTCAATAATTATCATAATTAGTTAAATGTAATAGGCATCCAGTAAGTGGTTATTGGTAATAATACCCTATCTTCAAGCAGTTTATAATGTTTGAGTTAAAGTGAAATAAAAATATGATGAGGTTTCACTTTTTAATGGCTCACAGATAGATCTTGTAAGCTTCTTTTAGACGGACTAATTATGGAAGCAAGAAGATGATAGCCTTCAGAAAGAAGGGGCATTGGATTCAGACCTCTAAAAATAAAGAGATGAGCAAAAAGGCAGAGTACAGAATATAGAAGACTAACTCTTTGGCACATTATTCTACTTATTTATGTTTTAATCCTCGCCCATTGATATGTTTTTATTGATTTGAGAGAGAGAGGAAGGGCAAGAGAGAGAGAAAAACATCTATCAGTTGCCTTCTGTACGCCCTAACCAGGGGTCAAACCTACAGCCCAGGTATATGCCCTGACCCAGAATCAAACCCACAACCTTTTGGTGTGTGGGATGATGCTCCAACCAACTGAGCCACCTGGAATTCTTGCTGGGGAAAAAAAATATCTTGCATCAATATATTTGTCCCAGAGGATTTACTTTCGTTCTTAAGTGCTCTTATTGTAATACAGAAACTTCATAAGGGATTTAATGAGAGTCAATAATTGCAGAAGCCAGGACTGCGGTTATTTTTCAAGACTTTTTTATTTGAATTACTTTGCTTTATTTTAAGTTTATCTTATGTATCTCCAAAGGGTATTTAACGCTGTTTATGAAAAAAGGTATGTATAGTGACAGTAAGCTCTTTCAAATAGAAAGAGAATAACTAAAACATATCAGAAAACGGGTACTATAACTAGGATAGTATTTTTACTGAGAACACAAAACTTTATTTCATTAGATTAGAACTTACAGTGGGAGAGAGACATGTAGTTTTAGCTCTAGAAAATACAGAAATAATCAGTACTTAGTTTTCTCTCTTTTTTAAGAAAAATAATCCTTATCCTTTGCAGATGATTTATTAAAAATTAATGTCAATCTTACCCAAGGCTTTCTTGGCTCTCCAATTTTGAATCTATTCTTCTTTCATTTAATCTTTTTCAGTGCCAAGTGTACCTTATTTTTCATTAATCCTAACTTACTGCAGTCAGTTGGCTCTTTTAGATAATGCTTTTTCAAAGGGTCTCTGAATTTCCAAAGCCATTAGCTTCCTCAGAGTATATTTCAACTTAATTAGGAAAAGTGTTTTACATCGTTGATCACCACTTGCCTCTTGAAGTTTTATTCCCTTGGTTTCATTGTTCTTGCTTGTATTCTCTTCCAGTCTTAAGTATCTTTCTCAATCTTTTACTTTGCTTCTCTCTTTTCTTCTGCTTCTTAAACATTGATAATCCAAGTTTTCACTTCTTGACCTCATCTCCTCGTGGGACATTCTTATACTGTGGTATCATCTCTGATTTTTTCCTTCCCCCTCTAAACCCTTGCTCCTCCATTTCTCACCAGTTGATTCTCCATCAGACATGTCTTTTATAAATGTCTTAATTTTCTCTTGTTTTTACATCACTTTGTTAATTCAGATCTTCTTGGTCTCTTGTATGAACAGTTACAGTCACTTCCAGTTAGGTTTTCCTGTTTCTGTCTTCATATACAAATTATTTTGCCAGTCACTAAAACTCAGGATTACATGACTGCTTATCTTCTGTCAGTATGCCACAATGTTTCTGCTTTACTCATGCTGTTTTTTATATATATACTGGAACGTTCTTTTTTCTTTTTTTTTTTTTTCTTTTTTCTTTTTTTTTTATGGAACGCTTCACGAATTTACGTGTCAACCTTGCTCAGGGGCCATGCTAATCTTCTCTGTATCGTTCCAATTTTTTTTTTTTAGTATATGTGCTGCCAAAGCGAGCACTCTTTTTTCTTTTTAATCTATTGACTCATACAATAAGCATTCTGCATACTTTGTTTTCCTAAGTATAGTAACTCTTATTCTCTGTTGTTTGTTTTTGCTGCATTTTGATCATGCCACTGGTATCACTGTGTAGATTCCCTTTTCAGACTAGAAATTCACGGTAGCAAGGATTGTATTTTATGTTTGTGTCAACTGAAATGTAAAAGGATAAGAAGAAAATCAATAAACTAGTAATTTGATTTTAATTTTTGTGTTCTAAGTCAGACCAATACCTATTTATTAATGAATAGAATTAATGAGGTACAACAACTAGTGAGGCACACGATTATATTTAAGTTTTAAATTGTAAGATTCCTTAACTCTGCTTTGATTTTTCTCTCCAGTGTCTCTCAGAAGATAAAAGTGTGCAAGAAGTCCTACAGAAGCATTTCAATATCAGCAAAAGCCTGCGGTCCTTACATATGCTATTGGTTCGTATTAGCTTTGTTTTTATCATTTTTTAAATTTTTCTTTCACAAGACAATTATATTCTGTTGGGAATTCATTAAACCTATAAATTTTGGGAGAATTACCATGTTTACTACATGGAGTTCTCCAGTCTCTGTCGGCCACTTTTCTCCTTTTGTTTAGTTCTTTGCTTTCTTTCATCATTATCTTATAATTTTTATCCTGTTTGTACATGTTTAAAGTATTTAACTTTTTAGAGCAGTTGTCTGTGATGTTTTGTTTTTAATTTTGGTTTCAGCATGCTCTTTGTTAGTATATAGAAATGTGATTGATTTTTGTATGTTGATGTACTCTGCAAACTTGCTGAACTCATTCTAGGAGTTTTTTAGATTTCTTGAGACAGTCATGTCATCTGCAAATAGAGAGGTAGGTTTTTTTTCCCCTTACCAATCTGATTATATTTTATTTCTTTTTCTTGTCTTGCAACATCTAAAACCTCTCAAAAATGCTAAGTAAGTGTGGTGAGAGGATGGACATCTTTGCCTTGTTTCCTATCTTGGGAGAAAAGCATTCAGCCTTTCACTGTTAAGTATAAGGAAGCTATAGATGGTTTATACATTTGTTATCAAGTTATGGTAATTCCCATCTGTTCTTAACTTGTTGATAGTTTATTATAAATGGATGCTGGATTTGTCAAATGCTTACTCTATCAATGAATATGATCTATGGTTTTTCTTCTTTAGCTTGTGCAGTGTTGGGTTGCACTGCTTGACTTCTGAATGTTGAACTAGCTTTGCATACCTGGAATAAATCCCATCTGTTATGGTCTTAAACAAAGTAATAATATCTTTTAAGCTTAAACATTATCAACGAAGAAGTACTTTATTCTGAAAATGAAAGCTCTTCCTTTATTAAGAGTATTTGACATTAGCCTAATGTTTCTAGAAAATTATCTGTGGCAAATATCTTTCAAGGAAAAACTAATTTTGTTTCATGAATTTCTTCTTGGTCACTTTCATTTATTATAATAATTGATATCAGTTATTAAATAGCACTTGAGCTGGGAACTGTATAGTTGCTTTACCAACATTATGTCTATTTTTTTTTTAATCCTCCCTGGAGGATATTTTCCCATTGATTTTTAGAGGGAGTGGAAGAGAGAGGGACAGACAGAGAGGAATACCAGTGTGAGAGAAACACATCAATTGGTTGTCTCCTGCACACGCCCTGACCAGGGCCCAGGCCGGGGAGGAGCCTGCAATTGAGGTTCGTGCCCTTGACTGGAATCGAACCTGGGACCCTTCAGTCCACAGGCCAAAGCTCTATCCACTGAGCAATCCAGCTTGGGCAGATTATGCCTATATTTTACCTTTGGATATTTTTCTCTTTATTTTTTAAGAAAATGAGGCTTCTTATGATGCAATATCTTTTTTAAAAAAATAAGTTTTTGATTTCAGAGAGGAAGGGGGGGAGGGAGAGAGAGAAAGAGATAGAGAGAGAGAGAAACTTCAGTGATGAGAATCATTGATTGGCTGCCTCCTGCACGCCCCCTACTGGGGATGGAGCCTGCAACCTAGGCATGTGCCCTTGATCGGAATCAAACCCAGGACCCTTCGGTTCACAGGCTGACACTCTATCCACTGAGTCAAAACAGCCAGGGCATGGTTAATTATCTTACCCCAGGTCACACGGGTAGTAGATGGCAAACTCTACCCAAAGCCAAGGTGTCTGGCTTCAAGCTTGTATCCTGCTTTACTATATGGTTCTGCTGTGTTTGTTTACAGATTCTCCTTTCCCATTTCTGCTTTGGTGAGGAAATTTAAGAGCTTTTTTTGTATATACTTTCTCATTAGAAATCCCCCTCCCATCTTGCCATTTTCATTAACAACTGTCTTTCTTACAAAGTAATTTTGGGATTAAGAATTTTCAGAGTAGTATTTTTAATTATTTGTATATGAAAATTAGACTTTATTAACTTACTTTACATAGAGAATACACACACCACACATACATGCAACATAACTATTCATATACACACTTCTCATTATGATAAAATCTCTCTGCCTTAAAATTGTCAGCGTGAACAAATATTTTTCCAGTTTTCTATTACACTTCTCATTCGGGGTAATGGCTTGATTTTTGTTTCAGCTTTTCATGTGTAAGAAAAGTTTGGAATTGGTGGAAATTATAAAGAAGAGGGAATGACTTGACTGAAATTAATTATAGTTTGGATAATTTTTCAACAACCACCACAACAAAATCAGGAGTTATACATAGAAAGAAAAAAAAAGAAACACCTTCATTGCATATCCAAAAGTAAATTCCATGTTGATAAACCTAGATGTCTGTACAAAAAGTTTAAAAAGTTTATAAAAAATGTAAGAGAATATATTTGTAATCTGGAGGTAGGGAGATATTTCTTAGATAAAATACGCAAATTTCAAGCCATAAAAAAACAGATGGATAAAGTTTAACTACATTTAACTTTTAAATGTAGACTGGCCAGGATGAAGATTTAAAAAAAAGCTGATTGGGAGAGGGTGTATGCAATGCATCTAATCATCAATACTATCCATAATAAATAAACAGCTTTTATAGTAATCAGTAAAGGAATGAGCTAAGAGTACGAGCAAGCCATTTAGCAATGTAGAATCCCACATGCCCTGTAATATACAAAGATGCATTACCTCTCCAGTATTCAGGGAAACGGTACAATTTAAACTTTGCATAATTAAACACTAGAGTTAAACCTTTTTTTCCTGCCAACTGGTAGGTGTCAAAAGTTTATATCTGATGGTGTGGTGCCTGTGACTATAGAAATGCGTTGCTGCTGATAGTGTGAATATGTACAGGGACTTTGAAAAACAATTTGGCGAATTAGATATCTCTAGTAACTCAGAAGCACAAGAAGGCATAGAAAGGTTTTTTTATTGCAGCCTTATTCATAATTGCAAAAGAAATGAGAGGTGTTCATCAATAAAAAAATAATAATTAAATTGCAGAGCAATACAATACAACTGGAAAAAATAAATAAACTAGACTTGACAACTTGATGTGGATAAATTCTCATGATAAATGTTCAATGGAGAGAGAGTTGCAACAGTACAATATGATATTTATATAAATTTAAAAATTACTCTGAATAGTCTAGGAAACCATGCATAGGTAGAAGTACATAGGTAGTAGGAGACGTGCATTTTTATTTATGCCTGGCCAGTGTGCCTCAGTGGTTAAGCATCATGATTCAATTCCTGGTCAGGGCACATCCCCAGTGGGGGGCGTGCAGGAGGCAGCTGATCAATGATTCTCTGGCCCCCTCTGAAATCCATAAAAATAATACATTTTTTTTTTTAATGTGCATTTTTGGTTTTGTATACAAAGGAGAAGAGAGTTCAACCAAGGAAAGAGACGGGCTTCAACTGTGTAGGGTCATATTTCATAAGCTAAGGAAGTGGTAGTGGTTATTGATTATATTATTCTCTTGCCTTTTTGTGTGTCAAAAATATTTAATTGTAAAATGTAAAAGGACAGGTAAGAGAAAGGGAATGAAGCAGGGGAATGAAGTTCAAATAAAGTGGGCTCTGCTTTCAAGGAAAGCTATTTCTGAGTGTAATTTTGGTTTTTATCTTTTTCCTTTTTGAGCAATTGAACATACGGTAGCTAACTTCTTTCTATTACTTAACCCTGACCTGGACTGGCAGATTTGATGGTTAGAAAGTTATGCACAAGTCACACATCTGCCTTTTAGTTTGGTATGGTGTGGGGCTTTAAGTTGTATTTTACTTATTTTGGGCCTCTCTGCTTGCCCTACTCCTTTTTAAATGTTCTTCCTTTGAGGAGTTGTAAGTAAGATATGCAAGTAGGAAGGAGTAGAGAGAGCAGCAAAACTTTTTTATGCTTTACATTTATAGTTACATGGCATATGAATTTAAATACTAAATTTTAGTACAGCTAAATATGAGAGAATACTTTTCCCAAGCATTAATATTTACTCTCATAAGAGTAGACTCTCCAAATTAAAAAGGGTTGTTCAGTAATACCGCCACATTTCCCAAGTAAAGATGTAATTGTTTTTCTGATCCCCATTTTCCTAGATGCTTGCTTTAAGCCGTGTAACCACATCACACCCATTTATCACTGCAGCAGATTTGATGGAGGCAAACCAGCTGTGTAGCATGGACTCTAAAGCAAATATTGTACATGGTGAGAAACCTACCTGATTAATAATTTTTATAGGTTTGTTTAATGGAGTGCATTTCATAATTAACCTTGGGCATAGTGCTTTATACACAGACTACTTTTATATCCACACTGCCTTTAACTCGGCCCTTTGTAAGGTGTTGTCACTCCCATTTAAAGTCCCCGAAAACTGACACTGCCTCCCTTGCCACATCGGAAGTCCAGCTAACACTGTATTTTCTGCACCAAGTGCTAATGAGGAGCATGAGCTTTTAGCCATTTGGGGGTTTACTGTCACTTTTGAGAATCTAATGAGCCATCTCTTTAGGAAAAAGAATTTAGATATAATTTCTTGGGATTTAAGGATTCTTTGAATAATCAAGAGCCCTGTGTGACTTAAAGTTACATATGATTGCACAGTTTGTTTACTGTGGGCCATATGGTACGTGCTTAATTCTTCTAACATCTCCGTAATATAGGAAGATCCCTATTCTGTTGATATGAAAACTAAGCTCAGGGAAGTTGAGTAATTTGCTTAAGATAATATAGATGGCAGTTACTGAAACGCATTTGGTCCTGGGGGGGTTTGACCCCTTTCCCCCCTTTCCCTTCATCATTTTGTTTGAGGGACAGTTATTTCAGTCTTATGTATCAGTAAGTAAACTATAACTTATAGTTTGTTTCCCTTTTACTATAGGTCTGTCAGTCTTGGAAATCTGTCTTATAATAGCAATGAAACATTTAAATGACATCTATGAAGAGGAGCCCTTTAATTTTCAAATGGTCTATAATGGTGAGATAAGACTTGGGTAGTTTCTTTCTGACTCTACCCCACTGCTTATTGAAGATACTGACTTTGTCATTGTTTTCTGTCCAGAGTTTCAGAAGTTTGTTCAAAGGAAAGCCCATTCTGTCTATAATTTTGAGAAACCTGTTGTCATGAAGGTAAGATTCACTGTTATTTTTCTGCAGGCTGGTATATTTTTATGTCCAATTTGATTGTCTAGTTGACCCTTGAACAACATGGGTGTTTAAACAGTGTCCACTTATACATGAATTTTTTTTCAGTAAGTATTGTAAATGTATTTTCTCTTTGCTATAATTTTCTTAAAATTTTCTTTGTTCTATCTTCCTTTATTGTAAGAATATAGTATATAATCTATATGACATACAAAATATGTGTCAATCAACTGTTTGTTATTGGTAAGGCTTCCAGTCCACAGTAGCCTAGTAGTAAAGTTTTGGGAGAGACAAAATTATATGGGGATTTTTGACTGGGTGTGGAGGGTTGTTGGCACCCCTAACCCCCAGCATTGTTCAAGGCCTAACTATATATCATAGTTGCACAAAGTTAGCAGCCAGGTGTTTTGGTTTGTGGGAGTATACTGCCCTCTACTGTCTGTTCCTAACAGTTACATCCTGAAAAGAAACATTTATAGTCCGTGAAATACATTGATACAGCCCTATCCCTTTATACTCAAGGTTTGCCTCGGCTCTATAATTTTAGCAGTAAAAAGCTACAAAAATGCTGACATGAGCCATTAAGAAACCAACAGGCGAAATCTCACGGGCTGGTGAAAGCATGTAGAGAAGGCTTTATTAGGGGTTAGGTGACACAAGGGTTTTAAAACTTGAGAAACTTTATTCTTGTGTAATATGTATTACCCACTAAAAATATAATGTGAGCCATATTAATATAATTATCAATTTTCTAGTAGCAACAAAAAATAAAGTGAAGTTTATTTTAATAATAAATTTTATTTAACCTAATATACCAGAATAGTCCCTAAATATTCATTGGAAATACTCTTTAGATTCCATAAAATTTTTAGCTAAAGACGTAGATGTAGCCCAGGCGGTGTTGCTCAGTGGTTGACCACCGACCTATGAACCAGGAGGTCACAGTTGGATTCCCTGTCAGGGCACATGCCCAGGTTGCGGACTCCATCCCTAGTAGGGAGCCTGCAGGAGGCAACCGATCAATGATTCTCTCTCATCATTAATATTTCTCTCTCCCCTCACTTCCTCTCTGAAATCAATAAAAATATATTTTACAAAAAAATATTTACATATTGAAATTGTTCTAAACATAATTTTTTTATTGACTCAGGCATCCGTTTTTAAATTCAACTTAATGAAAATGAAATAAAATTAAAAATCGAGTCCCACATTTCAAATGCTCAACAGCCCTATGATTACCTTATTGGACACCACAGCTCTAGAGGACTTTATGAGAAAAAACTTTTGTTTTAAAGCAGTGGACCCATACATCCCTTAGCATCCCCTGTAGACCTATGTAGTCAGAATTTTATTTCTTGTAGCAACCAGAAAGTGTTGGGGCATTGCCATTTCTTCACAACAGAAAGCGTATCTAGCACAGTGCAGGTGGGTTTTCTCCCCCTTCCTAATACCCATGTCTGTCTGATAGTCATGGCTTCTGGGAGTTGTGAATGGAAAAAGGTACCTGAGCATTTACATTCTTAGGAGTTTCTATATTTAAAAAACAAACATTTTTGCTGCCTATAAATATTTTAAATCTCCTTCATTTTATTCAGCCCAGCCTTTTGTATTTTTCTCATTTTCAGAAGTGGTATCTGAGCTATTTCATCAGAAGAATTTTTATGATACATAGAGAATATGTTCTAATATTTTTCACAATAAAGCTGTAGGAATAGAAAGCTCAGGAATTGATTGTAATGTTAGTATTTACATTTAGTATGTCATGATTTAATGGATGTTTTTTCAGTTTTCATAACCTAATAAAATACCTAAAATAATCATCAGGGTTAAAAAAGACATAATATGTGTGGTAAGAGGAAACAGAAGAGAGCCCTATTAAGGTGAGGAAGATGGAAGGAAACTCTGACAGGTGGTGGCAGTCTCCACCAGACGCCTTAGGGAACAGGAGCTGGCCCCTCTCGTCCATTGTGGCCCTTTGCTGAGTCGCAAGGTCAGCTGACAGGCTTGCTGTGCCCCTAGGGCTCTTTCCGCTCAGCTGCATTAAACTTAGACAGCAGTCTTACAAAGGCACAAACAAAATGTGAGTGCAAATTGGAGTAATTTTAAGTCAAAAAACAATGGACTTAGTGGATCTTAGTTGGAAACCCTTCATTAACTTCATCACTAGTAGGAAATATGATATAGAATAAGATCAGAAACAAAAAATGAGATTAGGAAAAATCATGGTGTGCAGACTGGATTAAAATGTGTCCTGTTTACATTCAACAATATAGTGACAGATAACTATATATTGGTGCTGCTTCACCTGATATACAAGTTTTTATGAAGTTGATGCAGTGTTGTTTTTGAACCTTACTGATTTCTATTAAGTTTTGTTTTCTGGCATTCTATTCCACAACTGATCAGAATCCTTCACTGTTCTCTGGGTTGTTCCTCTAATGAACCTAAACTATTTTTTTCATCTTTCAGGCCTTTGAACACTTACAACAATTAGAATTAATAAGGCCCGTGGAAAGAACTTCAGTAAATGCACAGAGAGAGTACCAGCTGATGAAACTACTTTTGGATAATACTCAAATTATGAATGCTTTGCAGAAATACCCCAACTGTCCTACAGATGTTAGGCAGTGGGCAACATCCTCACTAAGCTGGTTATAAATATAACCCATGGCTTCAGTAATGTAGTTTCAGGCAGACTTCTCTAAAGAACTAAAAGCTATTGTCCTTTAATAAGATGTGTTAATACATTTTTTATATTTATAGACATGTATTTTTGTATTTATGGGGAACTGTTACACAGGTAGTATTCTTGGCTGTGTCATGCCTTTAAATCATAAGCAGTTACGTGATTTATAATTCCTGTAATTTAGACTATGTTGAAGTAGAAGTTAAAATAAATGTGATTATTTCTTAGATATTGAACCATATACTTATTTAACAGTTACGAAGTATTTTTGTGTTACATTTGAAATCTTCATTTCAATCTAGCAGCCAATGTTTTTATAAACATTAAAGAAAGCATTAAAGAAACAACAGCAAGCATTGAGATGTAGAGTAATTTTTTTAATTTTTTTCTGTACCATGGAAATGTTGGATTCTATTTCAGACCCAGGTCTAGTTCAGGAGCCTGGCCAGTTTGGCTAGAAGATGCTTCACACAGAAGTAAAAGGCCAAAAATTTGGACATTTTCCTCCAGACATCTCCGACTGTGGTACTTTATACTACCTACAGAAGAATCCCTTGAAGAGTTGAAAGGTGTTCTTAAATGCAGATCCTTGGGCCTATTCTAGTCCAAAATGATCAGAATTTATGTTTTTAAATAGATACTTTACAAAATTCCTGAAAAATCACTTTCACAAAGACTGGGGAATGTTTGGCAGTGTTAACTAAATCTATATCTAAAAGTAAATCGCAAGAGCAATGTGGAACTGTCAGCCAAAGGATCACCTTATAAATTCAGGAATCCACAAGCTAATACAGCCATATATTTAAAGTGGAATATAATAAGCATTCGTTAAGTGTTAGTGACTTCATTTATTCAGGATTATTTGAGTGCCTATTGTTTTCATGGAAGGTTTACAGAAGGCATTGTCCATAATCTTGTGCAGTTTGTTAATACTTGTAACTGTCGAAGACGATAGGATGGTTCAGTGCCGTTACCTGCAGATGAAAAATCTAGCACAGCTGTGGCAGTGTTCAGTCACAGTTAGAGAACGATATCAGAGCCCGGTTCAAATCGGGTTTGACATCAAAGTCCCTGCTATTAAGGTGTGAAATCCAGCAAAGGTTTCTTACCATGTGTTTTTTAAAGAATACTCCAGGAAATGATTTATCTGGTTTTTAAGAAGTTTTGGACATAGAACAGAAATATCTTTGTGTAATAAAAGTAGCTCTAGTAGTTCTTCAATAGTTACAACCTATTGTTATACACACTTAGCCAGTCATGCCCTGCCCCTGGCTAAGTCTTCAGATCACTATCACTTGCTTTTCAGCAGTCTCACTAAATTAAATCTAAGGCTTACATACTATTTCTGTGCAATACTCTAGATTTTTAAGGGATGCTTTGCCAACATAATAGCTTCACTATTGCTAGAAGCAAAGATTTCATTTTACACTTGAGCTAAAATTGACCCTTTAAAAATTTTTCTAAACTATTTTAAGGCACTGACTGTATAAATACTTGGAGAACTGACTTGAGGTTTATAAATTTTTCTTAGGCTAAATACCACTAATAGACTAAGAGCCCTCCCTCCTCTGCCTCCCTAGTACATATGAGCTACATTAGATCCATCAGCACGCAAGTATACAGATTAAAAAACTAAGCAGCAAGGTGGGTTTTCATCCTCAGTGAAACAGAAAGCAAGCCATCCCCTTCTTAAGTCATCAGATTGCAAACCAGGTGTGGAAGAAGAATTCAGTGCAGTTTTTACCCATGACTCCCCACCAGGTGCCCTAACAAAAACAGGTTCTTATAAAACAAATCTATATAATAAAAGTCTAAGCAACCTGTTATGGCGGAAGGACCAGAACAACCGGTTACTATGACACACACTGACCACCAGGGGGCAGATGCTCAATGCAGGAGCCGGGTTCACAGCTGGTGGCGCAGTGGTGGTGGCGGGAGCCCCTACCGCCTCCGCAGCAGCGGTAAGGAGCAGCAAGCTGAGCGGTAAGGAGCAAGGGCTCCCTGACTGCGAGAGGGATGTCCAACTGCCGGCTTAGACCTGCTCCCTGGAGAGGGCACAGGCTGGGCTGAGGGGCTCCCTTCACCGCCCCCCCCCCCCACCTGCACACAAATTTCACATACCGGGCCTCATGTTTTAATTAAAGAAATACTTTCCAATTCATGTGCACATGCATATGAATGGCTCTGAGGAATGAAAACCTGTTTTGCAAACTTACTATGTCATAATGCTATATATATTAAGTGTATACTGTATTAGCTTCCTGATAAAGATAAGTCAGTGTTTTGCAGAACATATTGTGGAAAACAATTCCAATATTCCTGTAGATTTCACCATTGTTCCCATTTTCATGTAGTTTAGAAGACAATGCAGGTTCTTTCAAACCAACATAACCTAAGTGTTGTCCCTTCCTTTGCCTTTACCCTAAAAACTTGAGAATCATTGTGAACTGTAACACTCCATGTGGCATGGTGGGGCTTTTCCACTCCCCCTTTCTTCAAAAGCCATATTATAACCAAAACTTTTGCAACATTAAATATGTAAATGGAAGCTGGCTTCCTATTACTGATTACCCAAAGTGAAAATGCCAGAATTCTTCCATCCACTTGGTAAACAGGTTACAAATTGGAAATATATATCTTTGAGGGCTATTTCCTAAGCCACATTTTTTTTATTAACATATGAAGAAGAAACCTAATGCCAGCTAGCCTCTGGCTTCCTAAAACTGGCAGGACCAACATAAATACTTTAGTGGGAATACAATCTGCTTAGTCAACAAAGGAACTGACAAGCCTTCCTTTCACCTTATCCCCATTCATGCAAATCTCAAGGTGGAAGCCTCACTATAAATTACAAAGCTACTATTCCGCTCTTAAGAACATATAGCTAAAGAAAAACTGCATATGCAAATAATACTATATTCACTTTTTTTTATTTAACTTGGGGATGGAATGGGAATAGCATACATTTTATTTGTACAATATTTAACAATCACTTATCCAAGGTGGGGTTTAATGGGGCTTTTTTTTTTTTTTAGCTTTTTGTTAAATACTTGCTGAAAAAACAGCAAGTACAATTTGACAGTAGTACAACAACCTGTGCCCAAAACACTGACAAGAAATACAGAGTAAAGCTAAATAATTGCTTTCCAATATTTTGAGAGGTAACAAATAGGATATGGGTTTAGACTGCATAAAAAATGTACTGCTGGTTGAATATCTGAGGTAAATGATGTTCAATCAAAATGCTACTTGTATCATTTTGCCCATAAATCAGTAAATAATTTTATGCACATTATACCAAATGTTCCTAAAAAGTAATTTTTTTAGAAAGGTAAAAAAGAGAAACTGGAGAATATCTATGGTGAAGCAGTTTTTTTTAAAACAGTAATCAGTTTATCCCACCAAACTATCATCTGGCCAGGGTTTTTCCCCATAGCACCTGCATTTTACTTAAATGCAGTTGTTATGTAGGGATAAGGAAAGGGGGAAGAGATTCTTTTTTAATTTGATGATATATGATTCTATTTTAAATTCCAAATTTGTTGGGGTTGTTTCCTGATTGTATTTTCAAAACCATCACCATGAAGGATAGTTCATGGGACCAACAATTGTGAGGCACAGTCTCTGTTCTAGAATTCACAAGATATCTATAATAAACACTCAAACAAGAATCACACATCACATGCTGAAAACTTACTAGCATCTAAAATACATACAAGAGCTGTGCGGGGCATTGACTTCGAATAAAGCCAAATACCGGTTAAGCCATCAGTCCTATGGCAGTTGATCATAAAGCGTTCTTTAGATGAAGATCTGGGCAAGGTAAAGAGTGTAAGTTAGAGCAGCAGTCCGATGGGTATCAGAAAGGCTAAATACAAGACAAATCATAAGGAGCACCATGCACATGAGGAAAAGAAGTACTGGAGCCCATTTACCCCAAACGAAGTCTTTCTCTCATTCTTTGATCGTTCTTTTTTAGTATCCCCAGCTCAAACGTTTTGCTGACTTGCCCACTCTGCCCCGACTGTAAACCAAACATGAAAATGCCCTGCAAAAGAAAGTTCTAACGAGACGGAATCAGGACAAGGTAGTCACCAGAACATTCTTACGTAACTGCTTATAAAAAGTTGCTCTAATAACATTCTCAAAAGGATACAAGCTTTAAAATTGGCTAGTTAAGTACAATACCCAGATTTCTAAAAAAAAAAAATTCTAACGAGAAAAATTTATTTTGTGAATAACTGGTCTTATAAAACTTATCTCTAAGTACCCACATAAGACAAATATTCCTCCTGTTTTGGATTTTTAACTTTTAAAATCAGGATTAAATGTTTAGAACAGATGTAAATTAGTCTTCAGGAGATTAACAATTTTCATGTGTGGACATTCTGATTATTTTCCTTTCTTGATTAGTTTCAAAGTGAAAGCAAAACCATATCAAGAAATTGATAGGCAAAGTACTTTTTTTTAACTAAAGAGGTGAACTCAACATTGAAATGGGAATTCCTAAAAATGACATGACAACTTGGGCACATGATGTGACCAAGAGAATGTTCTAGATGGTGTGTGGCACATGGGCAACAATGCTATTACTCTTTTTCCCCTCCCTGCTTAGAGTCTGTTGACCTATTTATTTTTAAATAATATAACTTATTATTCCCAGAGAGTAAGTGCATATCATATGTAAAATGTAGTGTACTGTGTGATTAAATAACCATTTACAGATAACACATTCACAGTGAGTGCCTGACAGTGACATGTAAAAAATCATTTTATAAAGTTAATGTATGGATTTTAAAATGACCTGACAAAAAGTATATAGTGTAATACTGGTGGTCAGTAATCTAGAAATTCAGGAAATGAATGTTTTACTTTGGCCTGCATAATTTGAGAAAGAATCCAATGATATTCTAATGGTATACTGTTTTGAAAAGCACTTTGACACCTACCATCAATTCCATTTTCTTATCAAGGGTAAGGAATGAACTATCTTAAATTAATAGAGTCAGTTGTGAGAGCAATTTGCAGGAGGAGACAGTTATATGTGACCTATTTTCAATACTGGTTACCTCTAAATGTCATTGCATATTTTAAGTTATAAGTTTAACTTGTTATCCCTGATTTGTTTTAAAGTGGTAACATCTGAAATCTGTGCTTAAAACTTAGTCTCTATCCTAGGATAATTCTTTACATATCACAGACATCAAATATTACTCTGACAAGATGGCACCAAGCAGAAATATGGTGATAAACTTACAAGTCTCAAAGCAGAGAGTGAGGAATTCTGGGTAATGACACTTCCTGAGGTGATCCTAAAACAGTGATAAAGAATGTCCCACACACTGTTTGGTGAAAAGAAATACACTACAATTTTACATATATAAATAGGAAAAAAATCTATTTTAAAAGAATAAAAATGAAGAGCTTTCCAGTGTCACAGCTCACTTAAAAATTTTAAATCATGCTTTAAATTTTCAAATATTCCCCAAACACAGCACACCTAAAAAAAAAATACTTAGGTAAAAATGCAATATTTTGGGAACTGGATATAAGATGAAGCTTTAAAACATGGGAAGAGGGGGGAATGCCACCATTTTTCAATTCAAAGAACAGCACTTTTTTTCCTAAAATTACAAGCTAGCACAAGAAAAGCTAAAACACTGCTTTACGAATGGCCACTTACTGTTGGCACTAAGTATAGCTTACCTTTTTTTCTTAAATAACACAGTGAATTTGTAATACCTTGTTACAAAACATGGATCAATTTATTATTCAAATTTTGTTAGTGTTTTCAATTATATAATTTAGCAACCGTGGAACTGAGGTATACCTTGTTGAGGGAGGTTAAAGTAATGCTTGGAAGCCTCTTTACTGTACCCCACTTTGATGACTGTTTATGTACACAGAACAGCAGCACACTACACATTCACAAGCTGTGTCATATTGGCATTACAATAGTCATTTATAGAAACACAACAGCAAATGCAATAAAAACAAGTTACCCTTTTTTAAAATCTGAAATGAAAAGTTTCTGATTTAAAAAAAAAAAAATAGCAGTAGTTCATTTAAGGAATTAGTGTCTTCTGACAGACATTAGAAATCTGAAGTCAGTTTCAAACACTTGATTAGCCAGGTCCAAAGAGCCTTGATTTGGAGAGGGCCACATTCTTCATGTACACTTTCTCAAAAGTTTATAGAGTTTGCAATGTTTCTCTTCATCTCGTCCTTTCACGTTTCTGCTATAGGCAGTGCCGTAAGTCTCCCAGAGCCACAGTTTTAAACGAGGGTCTTCTTTTCGACGCGTCCAGGAGACCTCCTGCTCATTTCACACAGAAAATACACTGTAAGCAGTTTCGTTAGCTTAGCAGCTCCAGTTCACAGTCCCGTTTCTCAATGTGTACACATGGTGCAACCATCATAGACTAGATTCTTTGGGAGGAAAGTCAACATTTGTCACCATTGTGACCACTGTTACAATGTCCTCTGTGGTAATGATATTTGTTAGTCTCTGCATCTGAGTAATTCTTTCCCCTACACATCCAGCTGATAACCTGGCTTCTGCATCATGATCCCAACATTCTTCTATCGTTTCACAGAGCATTGCCATTCCCTAGAAAGGAAAAACATATTCAAACACCATGGCAAAAGAGTAAAACTTCCATAAACAAATTGCTATTTTTGTAGATTAAAGTGTCAAGATTAACCAAGTTTGCTATTATTGGCCAGTGTTCACTTTTTAGTATCTAATGTACACAGGAACATTAAGAATAAGAAGCACTGAGAGAAAATTTTTTTAGCACTGGAGATTATCAGAGTAGGTAATTAATTTTTTCAATTCCAAAAATTGCTATCCATTGTTCATAAACCAAGTCATTTCAGTGCTAACCCTTGAAATGGATTTAAGACCAAGGCTATAGGAGGTCTACATTAACAATCAACATTTCTATCTCGCAATTTCTATCTTGAAAACTGTCCTTGAGAATGATCCTGGTTATAACTAGACCAAAATAACCACAACAACACTGTCCCATCCTGTGTCCACCTAGTCTCTAGTTTCAGAGCATCCTTAAGAATTTGAAAATCTTGAAACCACAAATCAAAATGCTAAAGCAAATGCCCTTGGAGAGAACTGGGTGTTTCGCTTTTTTTAAATGGCATCATATAGGAAGGTGGTGATCAGCAGGGTTAACCCCATCATCCGCAGACTGGCTCAGAGCCAGGAGCTCCTTTCCCAAACAGGAGACATGCTCATCTGCACAGGACCACAGAGGGATGAGAGCCCGCAAGGCCCTATGACTGCATCATCTCCCCTGTGAGTGCACAATCTTCTTGTTTCTAGAGCAGAGTATTCTGATGAAGATCACCTCCCAGAAATCATTCCAGAAATGTGCAGAGATGTAAATCATTCCTCTGCAAAGCATTTTATTGGGATTTCATGTGACAAGCTAACTGCATAACTTACAGCATGCTTCTGCCAATAATCTCTTAAAACGGGCCTCTTTTTTTTATGCACAACAACTTCCTGCATGTCTTCAAGAGATGGATGCTGGCCGATTTCCTCCTCAAATGGCAGCATGTACTCATCTACAGGTCCTAAAGTGTAAATAAAAAGGGGGAAAAATCTTTTAATTCAAATTTTCCTGATTTCCAAAGTGAACAAACTTTAAAACACTATCACATTTCCCAGCTGTTACATACTGCAATGAGAGAAGCACTCTCAACCAGACTTAAACACAGTGTGACCCAAACTCTAGCTTAGGGGAAGTCAGGTCTGACTTGGCATGTGACTTTGCAAAGGACTTCAAGGAGCTTTCTTAACCCTTATATGAGCACTGGTTATCTCCATGCATATGTAGGATAGAGGGAACCACTGATATTTGCAAATTGCTCTCGGGTACCCACTCCTCTTGCAATTCCAATCAGTGGTGCTGTAAACAGTGGTGCTACAGCCTGGGTTCAGTCTGTTACAACCATCTCTAATCTATGGAATGCTCAGACTCTCAGCACGCTACACAGGAGGGGTCTGTACCTCAGAGTCTGCCTCCTCTGCCCCCAAGAGCTGACAAAAATACATTGTTTTTCAAATCACAAACACTCTCCACACTGGATTGCCAACAATTCAGAATGCTGCCTTCACAGACAAGCAAGATTTCTTCATTATTATAAGTGATTCCTGGTTTCTTAGGCCTACTCAAACAGGAAAATGCAGTCAGGAGTTAACAAATATCTGATGCACTTTTCTCCTCATCAGAAACTTTACATATATTAATTATTTCCATTTTACTTTCACAGACTGAAGGTCGAGTTACATCTATTTTACAAATAAGAAGGAAGCTCAGAAAAGTTCCCTAATTTGCACAAGGGCATACAGCTGTTAAGTGTAGAGTTGGCATTTCAATCCATTTGAATGACTACAGTCTGTGCTTTCTCCCCTTGACAGAAGCCTGTCACTAATCAACAATTTCATTGTCCAGCTATGTCTGCATATAGACATAAACCTTGTACAAGCTCTTTAAATGCACTAAATTCTCCTGAAAAGAATCTAAGTCAAACAGTAAGTCATGAAGAAAGGCAGCTAACCCCACCCTCTCTAAATGTAAGCATTTGTGATGCCTGGTCACAGCCTCCCCGGGAACCCCTGCAGTGACAGCACTGTCACCCTAAGGCATCTATTCCACCCCTCCTCAGAGTGGTCCACAGGGCAGCAGCTCTGGCCTGACCCGGTACACCTTGTAATGCATAAATATCAGGCCCAACCCAGACCTCTAGTCAGAATCTGAATCAACAAGGCCTCGAGGGGTTTGGTATATACATTAGTTTGAGAGTCACTGAATTGAATCAACAATTAGATATCAAGAAATTTTAAAGCACTCACTTTAGCAATATCCACACTGTCCTCTGCCCCAGTTTCTGCCTAAGGGTTAGAAATGCCTGACTGCAATTCAGTACTTCACAGCACATGCCAGGCATCCAAGGAATGTGAGCATCCATCCTTTTCCATAAAAACTTCCCTGGTAAATCCTCCTCCCAATAACAACAATTTTCTCAATCTAAACTCCCATAACACTTCCTTACATTTAGTTCTCAAGTATTACATTTATCCAAAAATATTTACTGAATACCTATGTACCAAGCACTGGGCTAGATGATTCACACTTACCTTACTCTAGAGCAGTGGTTCTCAACCTTCTGGCCCTTTAAATACAGTTCCTCATGTTGTGACCCAACCATAAAATTATTTTCGTTGCTACTTCATAACTGTAATGTTGCTACTGTTATGAATCCTAAGTATCTGATATGCAGGATGGTCTTAGGCGACCCGTTAAAGGGTCGCTCGACTGCCAAAGGGGTCGCGACCCACAGGTTGAGAACCGCTGCTCTAGAGTTAATAGTCCCAGAAAAAAATCTGCCACCTTAATGAAACTGTACATTACTTAAAGGCGGGGCCCTGTGTATCCATATCTAATGGTTCGCTGTGTAGAGTTCATATTAATAAAGTTCTTAGGAGATATATTTTCCTATTATATCTGCCATTTAATCTACTTTTGCTTCCATAAATGCCCATAATAAATGTACTTCCATTTACAGCCAAATACACTGAACAGCTTACTCTCCTTCCTACAGAACTGCAAACTTAAATTATATCTAAACTGTTTCCTACTTTTTTAGGTTCTGTATCCACTCCCAGACCAAATCCCCTGTGTGGAAGAATGAATGGCTGTCCATTCCTGAGCATATTCTAATAAGTTCCTTTAAAAGCACAGCTCCCCAAGTCAAGTTTCATATACCAGAGTAGTCTGTCCTGCACTAAGACTATTACTATACTCAGCATTTAAGTATTCTTATAATCATGGGCTAAATTGGTTATGCCTTTCAAAATATTCAACAGTTTCTATGGTCTTTGACAATCCACGGGAAGTTTTTAGGCAATTATAAGTTAAAATATAAAACACCAGATCAAGTTAATTTACATTTGTTTGGGACTTTAACAAAGTTTGCCTTATATTCTCACATGCAAAAACTGTAACATAACTGAAGGGAGTAGAGAGGCTTTGCGAAGAGCACTAAGACCAAGTACTTACAGCACTATAAATCTCACACCAGGAACATAGTATGCAGATTTATTATCAATCAGTCAATGCAAGTATTTATAGGATGTGAACAATGACCTCACTAACAAGAACAAAGAACATGAATCCTTAGAACCCAGGTGCTGTGCAGGCAAACATCTGCAATAATGTCTACATCAGATCACACTTTCAACGCTTTAAGGAGACAGAATTTAACCTGTGGTATATCCACACGCCTGCTCAGTTATGTGTCAGAGGACAGACTGGTTCGTCAGGTATATGACAGATTCAGCCTGAATGTCCTGGTAGCAAAGGTCTCCCAACTCTACATGCATTTCCTCTGGCCAGAGGAGCTGACTTAGAACCTGGGGCAGGACCCACATGAACTAACAGTACAGCCTTCTCCCTACATCTGGGTCAGTTTCAAATCTAGGTTTTACCATTTACCACTTTGAGGCTAAAACAGGCAAGCTACTTAATTTCTACTTAAAATTTGAGCCTCAAATTCCTCATGTGTAAACCTGAGATAATTACTACCTCCAAAGGTGTTTTAGGAAATAACCTAAAGCTATGTGAAGTGTCCAGCAAAACATCTGGCAAGGTGAAGGACCCATATATCCTCCCCCCTTCTCCCCTGCCTCCTGAATTCCCTGAGCTACCACCTCCTGGAGTCTATTTAAAAAAAAAATTAAAATGTGTACTTTAAAATATTACCTTTGAGTGTAATCATCCCTTTTCATACATGTGTAGTAGGCATATATCTTTTTAAAAATTTTTTTTCCCTTACCATCTGCAGCAGTACAGCGAGAAGCCAGTTCCCACAGGACTAATCCCATGGCGTACATATCTATCCTCAAAAATGCATCCCTTTGGAAGTTTATAGCACCCTCTAATACCTCTGGAGCCATATACCTCCGGGTACCAACCTGAAAAAGATGTTAAAAGCAAATAGTACTCATTCATTAATTTTATGAACTAACATATTATACTTTTGTAAAAAATAATCAAACCCTATGTGGTCTAATATCAGATAAGGTAACTAAGTTATAACTGCCAAACTACAAGGTCAAGCAGAATTTATTCCATTTCAAGTAATGCAACACCCAAGACACTCACTGGAAAGAGCAGAAGGATCCATCAGTAAGGGTGGATTAAACAAATGGAGTATAAGCAGCTCTTAAAAACATGAGGTACATCTATGGGCTAATCTAGAAAGATTTCCAAAAACACTGCAGGATGAAACATCAATGAACAAAGCAGTATAAACCAAAGTCCTTTCTGGGTACACTTAATAAATATATCAACATTATGCTAGTATAGGCTTAGAATTTTTCCCCTCTTCTGGAAGTAATCATAAGAAACTAAACAATAATTGTGAGGAGAAGGATGAAAGAGAAAAAAACTATATAGTTTTAAGTTGTACCTTTGCACACTTTGAAACGTATCTTTTTAAAAAAATACTTTAAGGGTTTCTCTTTTTCTGTATTAAAAAATAATATACTAATAAAAATACAAAATGTAAAAAGAATTAGCTAAAAAAAAGGATGAATAAACTTTTTAAAGTCTAGTTGTACAAAATCTATATGTTTACTTATTCATGACTTCTGTCTCAGAGGTCTTTATCTTTCCCTAACAAGTTGGTATTTCTTAGTAATGTAACAATGGTTACTAAGCCAGTACAGCTAGCTTTGCTTGGTGCTTGACAACATTCTTAGATGGATGTTTAAAAATCTGTGCGATAGCTGGGGAGATCCCAATCCACTTGAGCAGCAGATCTAGGAAATACTGGCATTTCCAAAAAGCTCCGTCCTTAAGTGACTGTGATTTCCAGACTAGAACTGCACAATTATCTGCAAATATACTGATAATAAGAACAGATTACTAAGAGCCTAAAGTTCAAGTTTTTAATTCATTTAATAAGGAGAATACTTTAGAGAAAAAGAAAGCTTAATATTTTTTCTACTTTAAATAACTATTTCAATGGTACAATTGTGTAATATATAAAATGTGTAATAACATGCATTTTTATATTTTCTGGTCCATGAAATCTAAAGTCAAGGAACAACTGATGTAAGTAGTTATTTTAATCTCATCATGTAACCCAACTATGAGGGTGTTAAAAGATATGAGTTCCACATTCTTTTCTTAAAAAAACAGGGGGTACGGGGGTTATGAGGTACCAAAGGAATAAACTATTCACCAAACTTAGTCTTATGATAATCAACCATACAATAAGCTCAGGTGTTTAATCCCTAGGCTTCCTGCACAATCTCCCTCTCAGTTACATTCTCCACAAAACTGCCTTTGTTCCCAAATACATTTGTTGTCAACCTTTCTAGAACTATGACTGCTGACCATGGCTCCAAACTAAATTCTTAAATCATTAGTCAATACTGCCAAAATCTGTTATGTTGTGGTTATTTGAGAACTGTGTTCTTGGAAGTTAATAGGATATGCTGGGGGAAAAGAGAGCTGAGAATTAGATGTTCAAATAATTTGCATGACTTGAAAGATGAAGAAATAATCATACCAGAGCCTAAGTCATTAGGCTTTGTAAAAAAAATGTCACCTCTCAGGTCAAACTGGTTTTCCTGATTAAAAGTCATCTTGCAGGAATGACAACACCTTTGCTATTTTCTAGCCTCACAGGTTTCGAGAATAAAGTGTATGGAAAATGTTCTTTTCCTCTGTGGCCTTCTTAAAGTTTCTCATTACTGAGATCTCTGTGACGACCTTGACAAGAGGTAGGATCCTCACTCAACGCTTTACAAGTGTCCTGAAATGTGGAGAGAATTCAGAGAAAGGCTATATGGCTGATTAAAGAGTTGATGAAGCAATAAAGACCAAAAAGCAAGAAATTATAATGGTCTGAAAAAATGGGCAGATCTTAATGCAATGTAGCATGAATAGTGACCTAATATTCTTCCATTCCCTCTTAAGGTAGTGAAAGAATTAAGTTAAAACTGAGTTACTACTAAGAACTCCCTCAGAATGAGTCTATTAAAATGTGTCTGATTCTTCTTTGATTAGTTTTTAAAATTAGAATCCCATGACATCTGTCTAGGCTATTTTTATGAAATGCTTGTTCTAAACCACCTGAGGTCCTCACAGTCCTTCACCACCCTATGAAAATGTCCTCCTCAGCAAATTTAACGCATTACTCTTAAGAGAGCCATTTTATATTAGATGCTGAGTTAATAACCACCACAATAATTTTAGACCAATTCAATCCAGATATGCCATGCTAAGAAAATATGAGACAAGATTATTTTTTTCTTAGAGTTTATAGTGACCATGCTTACCTGTCCATGAGTATCACCTGCAGACTTGCCAGCCTCAAACTTTAACGCCAACCCAAAGTCAGCAATACAGGCTGTCAGATTGTTTTTCAACAGCACATTTTTACTTTTGATGTCCCTTGCAAATAGAAAGATAGACAAAGTACTCAAATTAAGTTTTAACAAGGTACATCTTGTAAAAATTTTCACTGAAAGTGGAAAGGAGAGAGACTAGGTATGCTATAAAAGAACAGTTATTGGAAAGTATGAAAGGCAAAAAAAAGGAGTGGAAGAAAAAGCTTAAGCAAAGTCTCCATATAGCTGAAGCACAAGAAAGAGTACAGTGACAAACTCCTATTTATAACACGGACAATAAGAAGAATTCTTTCCATAACACAGTTTTATAAAGAAGTGCCATTCCAAAAATACTATCCAGCCTACATGTTATCTATGCCATTCCTACTATCAATCATAAAATTGCTGCTTTCTAAGACAATAAAAACATATCAGAGTTTATTATTAGAAACTCCCATTGAAACAGAACATTAAATACCAAAATTTAAGAATTTTCAAAGAATAGCTTAATTGGGGACCTTCTGCCTATTGGTACAGGCCTACATTTTAGAATGGTCCCTTATTTTAGTGGTTCTTACATTCATCAACCTGGTTGCAGACAAGCATCTCCAGGAATGTATAACAGATAAAAAATTTTCACTATGAACATACCCTGCTCCAATTAGACCAGGGGTCCTCAAACTACGGCCCGCGGGCCACATGCAAATACAAATATTTTATTTGTCCCCATTTTGTTTTTTTACTTCAAAATAAGAAATGTGCAGTGTGCACAGGAATTTGTTCATAGTTTTTTTTTTAAACTATAGTCTGGCCCTCCAACAGTCTGAGGGACAGTGAACTGGCCCCCTGTTTAAAAAGTTTGAGGACCCCTGAATTTAGACCCTAGTGTTCTGAAAAGAGTAATTGTTTTTTAAGGCAATCAGATGTCTTCTACACACCAGCCTCAACCGGTTCATCCTAGAAATACTGTACCTGAGCTGAATACATCTGTGCCATCAGCAATGGTTAAATTTATGTGTACAGAGAGACCAAGAGTGGGATAGAGGAGACACCCACAAATGTTACAAAACTAATCAGTTTTAGACTAAAAAATTTTTATGGGTGCTACTCCTTATAACCTGTGGGGGAGGAAAGTTCATTCAGTTCCCTGTAAGATGGGGTGAGGTGAGTAAAAATCCAGGAAGAGGCAGTTAGACTGAAGAGAGGAAGGTGAGAAGAAAGGGGAGCTATTTCTGAGGTGGAAGTTTGCAAAATCAGAATCTATGTTACAGTTGGGTTTAAAAGTAATGCCTCCCAGCAACCTAAACACCACCTGGTGCCACTCAACTAAATATTTGTTAAATGCATCAGTTCATACCCAATTTTAAAGCAACCATTCTTAAATTGAATGCTAGAAGACAAATTGGTCTCACGTTCAAGGAAGTTAAATTCACAATGACAAACTGAGTCCTATGTTTGAGGGAACTAATGTTTTCCCTTTTAATGAAATTATAACTTTTTTGTTCAAGTACTATTTCTTCCCTGAAAAGGCAACTGAGTAAACCCAACTGTTCTGATGATGCCTCCTTCCACCTCAGCTCAAGTAATAATCATTCAAATGAAAGCATAAAAAGGCACTCCTTAGTTATATCCCCCTTTTACCTATTTTTAATCATCTTTGAAGTCAATCATGTTTTGAGGTTAAACAAATTTACCCTTTGATTTAGAGAAAATACACTTTTATTCTTAACCATGCTTTCAAAAATGAGACTAATTAAAACATAAATCGATAATTAAGCTAGTGATGACTAACAATTAAGCTAATGATGTTAATATATACATTATCCAAATTACTTCCTGGCCAATCTCAAAATTAATTTGAAAAACAAATGAAATCATTCTGCCTCCTATAGCATAACTAGATAACTAGGGGAAAAATAAATTTTGTTCAGGGGATTAAAAGCTTAAGTAATAAACAAATGCTGATTTGGGAAAATAATATAAATTTAGCTCTACCTGTGAGATATGGCGGGTTTGTGGCCATCTTTTAGGCCAGGTATATCCTCATGTAAATATGCCAATCCTCTAGCCATAGTTTCTGCAATATGGCACAGTTCATTCCAAGAGACCACATTAGCCTTAAGAAAGTCTGACAGTGAACCCTAAAGGGGAAAAAAACACAACTTATGTTCTTGACAAAAAGCCGTATGTATATGGAGACTTTCCTTTTACTTTTAAGAGGTTATAGAAGACAACATATTTTCCTTTTGGTGAATAATAACACCCCAAAACCAATTTACAGTATCTAGAATGGTTCAAGTTTCACATTAATAAATATTTGACTAGAAAAAAATACCACTCATCTTTAAAGGTTTGCTACAAGCACAGGCAGTCGGTCAATTTCCCCCTATTTAGAAGGCAAAATTAAAAAAAAAATGTCTAGATTCAGAAACTATTTAATGACTATGGAGATATTATATCGGACTAGGAGAGCATAAAATTAAGACACATAAATAACAACAAACATAAAGAATCCTCTTGGGATTGATTATTGCCATCTTTTTGGTTAAGAATTAAGAGAAGTGAACCTGACTGCCAAGGAGAACACAATTTCCTATATCATTAATGTATATTTTCATATTAACTCTGAAAGTAGAAAAAATGAGGAAAAACAGCAAGTGTGCTTTGGTAATAATTACCCTACAAATGAGTGACAAAGATCAGGTAAATTTCCTAATTCTAGTTTTGTCACTAAGCTATACTAAGTAAAGTTTTAAGAAACAAAATTCAAACTGAAAAAAAAATATATAGTTCACGTAATCAAAATGGATGGTAAATTTACTAAGCATCAATTATTCTATATAAGAAAAGCCTAATAATGCTAAGTATCCTGTAGTACAGCCATTCAACCGATCAAAGCGTAATATGCTAATGATATGCTAAGGCCACTCAACCGTGCGCTATGATGTGCACTGACCACCAGGGGGCAGATAGTTGAACGGTGACCAGTGGCTGTGACGTGCACTGACCACCAGGAGGCAGATGCTCCGACCAGTATGTTAGCTGGCTGCTGGGGTCTGGCCAATCAAGACTGAGTGAGACGGGCCAGACATGACCTGGAACCCTCCTGAGGCCCCCCCCAGCTGGCCAACCTCCCATATCCCTTCCCGGCCCTGATTGTGCACCAGTGAGGGTCCCTCAACCTGGCCTGCACCCTCTCATAATCCGGAACCCCTCGGGGATGTCGGAGAGCCGGTTTCAGCCAGATCCCACAGGCCAGGCCAAGGGACCCCACTGGTGCACGAAACTCTAATACTAAAATAATTATTTGTAGCAGAGGTAATTGCAGCACAAGAAATCAGGGACAAAAGACTGGTTAACTAGAGGGTTAGGTAAAAAAGTTGCTATCTTTGCTCTTTTATTAAAGTAAATTCTCTAAATAGATATCACTTATAAATATTAACCTAGTAGAATATACTATTCCCAGAAAAATAAATCTGAGGAATTTGTAACCAACATTAGGTAGGTAAACCAAACCTGACTTTACTGAATTAAAACAGAAAGTAGTTTTACCTTTTCATGAAATGCTGTGATTAGCCAAAGATCCACATCAACACTGGTGCCTCGTTTTTCTGCACCAATGAACTGTAATATATTCTCATGCTTCATTCCAGGCAAACTGTAGACTTCATATTCATTTTGCCATGACTGTTTGTCCTACAGTCAAAAGGAAGAATAGTAAGAGTGCAAAGAATAGAGGCAATAAACTATATCTAAAAAAAAAGTTACTTGAGTTCTAAGGCAAAAAGTTAAAAATAAACATAACTATTAAAAGATTCACCAGTTTTGATTTTTAATAAAAGCACACTCTGACAATAGATAAGAGTTCCATACCAAATGTCTGCCCTCCCTTATACCCTCAAAACACACTTTTCTGTGTTTCCAGTTTGTAAACACAGGAGTTGCTCAGAAATACTCAACTTCAGTATCTAACGTTGGACACATTCTGCTTACAAGTTAGCACTACGGTGTAATTTCACCATAGTGTGAAGTTACTTGTGTTACTATTCAGAATAATCTCCCTGGGAGATGAAATTCAGGTAGAAAGACTTTATCTAATTAGAAAAAAATATTTTAAAGAATTTATATATATAAAAGCCTAATATGCTAAGTGTCTGACTATTCAACCAGTTGCTATGACACACACTGACCACCATGGGGCAGACACTCTGACCAGTAAATTAGCTTGCTGCTGGGGTATGGCCGATTGGGACTGGGCGAGACAGCCCCAAGTGGCCCCGAACAGGACTGGGCAAGATGGGCCGGACACACCTTGGAGCCCTCCCATGGTCCCTCTCTGGCCCCGAACGTACATTGGTGGGGTCCCTCAGCCTGGCCTGCACCCTCTCACAATCCAGGACCCCTCAGGGGATGTAGGAGAGCTGATTTCAGCCCTATCCCCATAGGCCAGGCCAAGGGACCCCACCAGTGTGCAAATCCATGCACCGGGCCTCTAGTAACATATTAAACACTAGAGGACTGATGCATGAAATTTGTGCACTTGGGTGGGGAGGATCCCTCAGCCCAGCCCACACCCTCTCACAGTCTGGGAGCCCTCAGGGGATGTTTGACTGCCGTGGAGATGGGAGAGGCTCCTGCCACTGCCTCTGTGCTTGCTACCCGTGAGCCCAGCTTCTGGCTGAGCAGCACTCCCCCTGTGTGAGCACACTGACCACCAGGGGGCAGCTCCTGCATTGAGCATCTGCCCCCTGGTGGTCAGTGCACATTATAGCAAGCAGTCACTCCGCCGTTTGGTCGCTTTGCATATTACCCTTTTATTATATAGGATTCTTAACAAAATGCTTATAATACCCTATAAAGTCAATAAGAACACAATGGAGTATATTTATGCAATACAATAATTTAAAATAGAATATTCTCGCCGAACCGGTTTGGCTCAGTGCATAGAGCGTCGGCCTGTGGACTCAAGGGTCCCGGGTTTGATCCCGGTCAAGGGCATGTACCTTGGTTGCGGGCACGTCCCCACTGGGGGGCGTGCAGGAGGCAGCTGATCGATCTCTCTCATCGATGTTTCTGACTTTCTATCCCTCTCCCTTCTTCTCTATAAAAAATCAATAAAATATATTAAAAAAAAAATACAATATTCTCATTTGTGCCTGCAAATGATCCATGCCCACTACATATCAAATTATAAAATATTTAGCTTCCATCCACAATGGAAGGATAATAAAAGCAGAAGGCATGATTGCATAATAGTTAGGGACCCTCCGTATCTAAACTATCTGAGACCTTTGGCAAGTTAATAACCATTAGCAAAATGAGGACTGTGCACAGGTTGGGGGGGGAGGGAGGGAAGGGGGGGGGTCCCTCAGCCCGGCCTGTGCCCTCTTGCAATCTGGGACCCCTCGGGAGATGTCTGACTGCCGGTTTATGGGCCTAAACCGGCAGTTAGACATCCCTCTCGCAATCCGGGACATTGCATGCACCAGTGACCATACTTTTCATACAGGTGAAAGGCATCTTGCTGTTGTATGGGCAGCTACATTTTTTTTGCCCTGATAATAAAAAGTAGTACATAACATGATCCTTCTGAGGCAGTAGTACCATTTTCCCCATCTTATGAGTGGAAAAACTGAAACAGAGAGAAGTTAATTGGCTTTGTCACACAGTTATAAGTGTCAGAATCAGGGCTGACCACAAAATGTGCAAGCCAAAGTCCATGCATGTCATTGCTGCATCATCCTGTTTCTTCAGTGTTAAAGTAGCCTTGCCAGATTTTAATTTTTAAATCTAAGAGACTGTTCCCAATATATAGGGTAGGGTCCCTAGGCCTGGCCGGCGATCAGGGCCAATCTGTGAGATGACTGGTAGGGCGATTGGGGTGGCTCCCACTGGCACCTCCCTTGGCTGGCAGCCTGGCACCATCTGCTTGGGGGCCATCCCCACCCCCCCACCATCACTGACAGGGCAACTGGGGAGTGGTGCTGCCCACTTGCTGGCAGGCCCTGCCCCCCAATCACACCACCATCACCAGTTGCCTCCCTCTGCCCACAGGCACCCGCCTTGGCTGGCCTGGCACCACCCGCTTGCTGGCCCTGACCCCTGCTGTCATTCCGCAGGTCGTTCTGCCATTTGGTCTATTTGCATATTAGGATTTTATATAAATAGACTAGAGGCCCAGTGCACAGATTCGTGCACCAGTGAGGTTCCTTGGCGTGGCCTGCAGGGATCCGGGGAGGAGCTGCTCCTGCTCATCACAGCCCCTGTAATCCCAGTCAGCTGAGCGACGCTCCCGCTGTGGGAGCACACTGACCACCAGGGGGCAGCTCCTGCATTGAGCATCTGCCCCCTGGTGGTAAGTGCACATCATAGCAAACAGTCAAGCGGTCACTTAGGCTTTTATATAGAGAGATAGAGATATGTATAGTGTGTGTTGTATTATATGTATGGACATATATTAGTCAGTACTCATATATGTAAAACACCTCTACCTGACACAATAGGAGCATCAAATAAAATGTTAACAAAATGCTTATAATACCCTATAAAGTCAATAAGAGCACAATGGAGTATATTTATGCAATACAATAATTTAAAATACAATATTCTCGTTATTGTTATTAATCTTTTGTTATTGTTGTTAATAATTGTATTATTGTTATTAATCTTACATTAATATCATCCAAATATTTGTGAATCTTGGCACAACAGAACAGACTTTCCCTCTAAGAATTAAAATATATAGTTTCTGCAGTTCCACCAAAAAGAATAGTAATAGACTTTTTCATAGGCTCTAAGAAATAGGCTTTAGAAGAGTCAAGAAGGCTAAAATCCAGGTATATTATGATGAAGAAGTTGATTATATTGTAATTTTGGAATAAGGAAGATCTACTGTCCAGGTACAGTGGTGAAGCCAGCATCACCCAACCCAGCCAGGATTGCAATACCATGCGTGGCTTTAGCCACAGAGGTTTAGACACGAGAGAAAGGGAAAAGGAATCATCACAGATCTATACCACAGTCATTCTCAATGGAACAAAACAAAACAGAAGATAGCTCAGGGGTGCATTAGACCAGGTTTTATGAGGTCAGCCCCTTTAAAAGGAAAATTTCAACAGTAAACCAATTATTTGCCATCTTCATTAACTGCCTCTGAAAATTCAACAAGCAATATCTGAAGCAATTATATTAACACTCAAAGTAGAACAAAAATGACTGTTTGATAACATACTTCCAAACGGCAATTCTGAAACAAAGCACGTTACTCTTTCATTCTTCTGTTTGCTTTTTTTCTGATTATGTCAATGGAATATTAAAAGTTAACCACCCAGGCATTAATTAAATTTTTATTGGAATCTTCATATTCACTTTGCATTTCTTTAGAATTTTTACTGGCAAAAGATCTCCTATATGTTCATTTATTTTAATTCCACCACTCCAAAAAAATGTAATGACTGGTCTATCATTAATTCCATTGCTCAGATGAGAAGGCAGACTTAACAAGGAGAACCGCTTTCCCCAGTACCACAAGAACCACCTTGAAACATATGGCTTGTATTTTCAGACTGGAGTTACAAAGACCAACACAGTTGCAATCTTTTAAAATTGTGTGCAGATTAGAAAACTATAATAAGCATACCTGTATTGGAAATATTTTCACAGCGACATATTCATTGAGCAACTGGGCTTTCCAGACACAACCAAATCTTCCCCTTGCTTTCACTTCTAGTAACTGCAGTGGCTTCAAACCTAGTAATGGAGAAGGTGGGGGTGGTCCTGGGTCCTACAGATAAATAACAATAATAATATTAAAAAGCAGCACTTGATACATATCTCTCTAAATGTGAGGGGAAAAGTTGAGTGTACTGAGGAATCAATTGACAGAAAAAGTAAACACATACAAATGACATTAACTTCAATCTTGCCCAAACTGAGTTCTCAAGCATTCCTAATTATCTATAGTAATCACAAGGCAAGCAACTTGAATTAAGAGTTTTCATAAGAACATTTGGCAGTATTGCTATGTATGTATAGTGGGGAAAAAGATCTAAAATCTTTTTGATCCACTGTCACTAATTTTCCTGACTAAAACTTTCTGTGGCCTCTAGGATACTATTAATAGTATTTCAATGGTTTCATCCAGTTGATACTTCCTTACAGAATGAGGATTCAAAAAGTGCCAGAAATAGCAAATTATGGCTGTGTCTCAAAGAAAACTTGCCCTCAAAATCCTCTACTTTCCCCAATTGCTCTTTAAAACTTTTCTTTAATTAATCTCGGAAATACCCACAGTGATTCTCAAATGCAAAGCACATAAAAGAAATGTCAGTTAACGTTGCTATAGCCCAACTGTTCCATTCATTCTAATGTTCCAACCTATTAACAATTTACCCCTTTGCTTATAATTATTTCCCAAAATTGATCTGAGATAAAAATTATTAGTGTTCTGGGACTGACTGGCAAAAGAAAAGTGCAAATAATAATCAAGAAAGTGAGTGGTCATCCTGGTAGGTGATACAGACTGTAGGTAAAAGAAAGAGAAGTGAGTGTACTGCTATAGTTAACTTTTTTAAATGGAGTAAATACAAATAGGAGTATAGCATTTACAAAGGACAACGGAATCCTCCCTATACAGACTGGAGTAGCAACCCTTCACTGAAAGTATTTTATCAGCTCACTATCTGCAAAGAAAAAAAGACATAGGAAACCTTTTGGAAAGTTTCCAGAAGAAAAAAAAAGTAATAAAAGTATTTGAAAGGCTGCATAATGAGTATTATAGGGAGCAACTAAAATTTCTGTGACTACAGCAATAGACATTATGACACTGGTGGCATATAAGACATGTGGATAGTATGTCACCCCTATACTGATGCACCTCTCTCTGCCTCCTCCCTCGCATAAAAAGAAAAGATCTCCTCTTCTAATGCCTCAAGACTGTGAGTGCTCCCTTTAGGCATTATTCAGCCTGCCAGTGCCACTCGAGATTTTAAAAAGTTCGCATCTACGTTAGAACTCTTAAGAATAGAAACACTGCAAAGTATTAAAGAGAAAAAATATATAATTTCAACTAAAGTAGACAATCTTTTACAAAACGGTTTCAGAATTCCGATTTTTTAAAACAGTAAGATAACTACAAGACTTCCTGTGACTCATTTCAATTTATTTTTTTTTAATGTCTACAGAAGTTGTTTTTCCATCACATACTCAAAACATGAAAGGTTAGCAGAGATAAAGAGTATTTTTGTTTAACAGGGACAAATCCGGGAAGTCAGATATAAATCTCATAGATGTATGCCCCTAAAGTTATTATCTTCAGTGGGAGAGGACACAAAAATCTCTGCAAAGGTTTTAGTAAAACTTAACCTTCCCCACCTCATTCTTTGATCATTTAAACTCTTAGATTCTACTGCTGTTTGTTACTTATGTGAATGCGGAGTCAGGAGGGGGAAAAAAGTTGAAAACTACTCTTCTAGAGGCAAAGAACTCAGTGCTGAAAATCCAAGAATTATTGGATAAATGCATACAAGAAAATTTATGCTAACTAACTGAAAAAGCTCAATTTGAAAAACTTAAAGTAACTAAAAAATTAATGTCAATGATTTCCCCTCCTTTAGAGGTAAATTAGAAATCTTGAATTTTCAAAGCTGGGATTCCAAAAACTAAAATATACAGATAAGAGCTAAAAGCTGAAGGAAAAATAACCAGATAAAGAGCAATATGGCTCTAAATTTAAACATTACAATTGTTAATAACATATATAAATTAACTGATAATGTCTCTGGATAACATATACATTGCCCATTCTTGGTTCTAGAGTACCATCTACCTGGAAATGATGTCTATAAGACAGGATTTGGATTACTTAATTCACAAATCAAATTAAGAATATGTCAGCAGTTCAAAACATGATTTAACATAACATTAATCTAAATTTTAGGAAACATAATACATTTTAATGTCTATGCTTAGAAAAAAATAATGGAGTGTTTTTCAAATGCAAAGATAAACTTCAAAGTTCCCATGTTTCCAAGGCTCTGTTTAGCAAGCTTCTAAGCTACCATTATTTCAGTGAGAAATCTTAGATAGCTCTCCTAATGATATTACCATTATATCACAGCCTGAAAACATAACCACTGTCAAAATTAGTTGCAAGTAAAAAGCTTAAATTAAGAACACTGGCCAATTTTCAAAGGGTGATAAAAAGGTTTTCAAAAGTACATTCCTATAGAGTATCAAATAAGAAATATTGTTTATAAATAACATCCTACAATACTTAAAAGGTTAGGTAAAAAAAACAGTAACTATAATAGGTACCACTATCTAAAATCTATAACATCAATCAATCAACGTATCTTTTGCTTTTTCAATAAAAAATCAGCAGAATGTTCTTCTATTTCATACTTTTCAGTTCTTTCTTAAGCTTTAACTGAATCTCTAATATCTAGCTTTTACTTATTCTATAATCCAAGATTATAAATGATTTTCAGTTTATTAACATCATTATACTAATTTACCCACACAAAAAACAATGCTCAATTCTAGAAATAAAGATTTATACCTTTAAAGTATAAGAATACCTGGGAAGACTAATTCAGACTTAAACTTCAAAAAGACAGCAACATTGTATTGTTATCCGTAAAACAGGGATTTGCCCTGCCATGCAGGAAAACTACATTCAGGTGGGAGCAGCTATGAGGACTGCAGAATTTCTAAAAAATCTCCCTAAGTCTCTGGTTCTTTTGCAGTATCCATACTATTTTTGCAGTTAAAAAGATACACATTAGAACATGGCTCTGATTACATCCCTTCTTTACCCATTTGTATGTGAAAATTATGGCCTCGTTGAGACATCATGTTATGAAGCAACAAATGACTACAGCTGGAAAAAGTGCCTCCCACTCCAACACACTAACACTACTATAACCAATACCTGAATACATTGTTCATAGAAAGAACTGCAAAGAAGTTTGTGATCATTTTACTTATTCTGAATTCTCCGGATGAAGGCTGAACTCTAAAGTTTTAAACTACCACACAGTGAAAAATCAAGTTATACTTCCCTAGCTAGTCCATTTGCTAAAGATGTCAAAGATGAAAGAAACTACCTGAAAATATAGATTTCACATTAAAAGATAATGGATTCAACCAGAAAGTCAGCACCTATCAAAGGTGAGGACATGCTGACATTTAGGCTAATGATGTTATATAAGAATTAACTAATACAAAGATTTTAAGACTAAAAATCCTGCCATTAGGTGTTAAGTTCTAATCAACTAAAACAATTGTGCCTACATTCCACGTCAGGTGAGTATAAATATTGTTAACAATCCTTTAAAACCCAAAACTATTACTATGGCAAATCAATCATGTTTTCAATACCAAAAGTAGAAAAAAAATAAACTTCATAACATAAATGTATAAACTATAAAGGATGCACAATAAAGCAATAACAAATAATCTAAGAACAAAATGTTTAGTATGCATCCACAAAAAAGTTCCACAACCATAAAACAAACATCAATGCATCTTACCTCTATCATTATATGAAAGGCGTGCTTGTGAAGAAAAAACACAGGCAAAAGAAATTACGATTTATATCCAGAATGAAATGAAAAATGACACATCAGTTACAAAAGTGAAGGAAGAAGGATAATGATTTAGCTTTTTAAAAATTGGCAATGATCCACTGTATAATATTTCTAAAATGAGACTTGGGAACACTTTCCTTATAAAACAAAGGAAAGTAATATTTGAAAAAACAAACTGGGACATTACCTATCAGACAGATGACTTTTGTATAACCCGAAGTTACCTGATCGAATGGACATTAAGCCAGTAAATAAATTAAACCAAATCTTAAATAACTGTTACTTATTTCTCTAAGAAGTTATATTGTCTTAGTTGTAAGAGTACAAAAAGTAATGTAATTGAGAAGAAATGCATTGGAATTGACTTCTGGACACCAGAGGGCAGTATTGCCTTTAACAAAATTTGTAGGAGCAGCACTATATAGCTCAGACCACACTCTCTGACAGTTATCTTCACAATCTCTACAATCTTCTACTTCCTGAACTGCTGCACATCCCTTTCACGAAGGCAGCAGAAGCATAACAGTGTAACAGAAAACTGTTTCCGGTGCCAATGTGAATGTGTGCAACGATACACTAGGGTAAAAAAAAGAAGGGAAGACTAAGACGGTTAGAATTAAATAGAAAGAGTGACAGACCAGGCCCACTGCTATTCTACTTCTCTAGCCACAGCAACAGTAAAGAATCCAAGCAGCGGTGGCCCTGAGAACAGTATCCAAACATACTTTTCAATCTGAGGACACTCACAGAGAACAAGATTTTCAATGCCCTAGTCATCACAAATTTTGTGAGGTAAGGGCCCAAATTAAAAATTAAGAGAAATACTGTCACCACAGTGTAAAGGAAGGCTATGAATCCCTCCAATCATTGATTATATTCTCCAGTTTCCAATATTTCTAAAGAGAAAAATAGCAACAAAAAAAGATTTGACAGTTCATTTATCTATACCAGTTGCTAACTAGTTTTTTTGCCTCCTTAATTTTTTCCTGTGACAATTCAGGATTGTTTATAATTCATCTAAAAGGCTTAGCTAATCCTACTATTAAAACATCTTATCAGTACTCCAGAGTAAAATTCATTCCTTGTAAGAAACACATGCCTTTATTGGCTTAGCTAATCCTACTATTAAAACATCTTATCAGTACTCCAGAGTAAAATTCATTCCTTGTAAGAAATACATGCCACATGAATAACTAGACGATAGCTTCCCAAGGTTTAAGCACCTCTCAGGTTTTGTTTTCATACAGGTGCTTTCAGAGATAAAGATGCCACTGTAATAACATTGTGCAAGCAGGTGCCATTCACGAACCTTACCAAAAAGTATAAACTTGTTCGATGTACACATTAGAATAAACTATAGAATGATGCAAACTAAACAAGAGACACCAAGAACAGGCCTCAATGTATCAACAATGTTATAAAGTAAAAGGGTTCAAACAGAATCCAAAAAAATAAATTCACCAAAATACATAAATAGATAGAAAGGAACCAAACAAAACAGTCTGGATTCACAAATGGAAAATGGAACTTGAATGTCAATAACTATAACTGGAGAAAGCAGTGAAAACCAAATAAGCACATTAATATCAAGTATTTAGGTTTGCTGAATAAAATTCTTTTAAAAAAGACTTTCCTTAAGGGGAAAAAAAAATTAACTGTCAAACATCAGAAAAGAATGAACAGTACTTCTCCATGTTTCAACAAATCTTTACTGAGTGCCTAGTTTGTGTCAGGCACTGACTATCTAGGCTCTCGTGATGCTTACTATAGTGCAGGTAAGAAAGACTAAACTAATCAAAGATTACACTAATAAATGCATAATTATAAAGAGCAAGAAAAAGGAATTCAGTACCTTGAGCACCTGTAAGGAGTTTAACTTAAACTGGCAAGTTAAATAAGAGAAGATCTTCCTGAGAAGAGGATCCTTGAGAAATGGAATAAGTATTAGAGGTAGGAAGATAAGGGAGACCATTATGCTAAGTGAAATAAACCAATCAGAGAAAGATAAATACCACATCATCTCACTCATTTGTGGAATATAATGAACAACATAAACTGATGAACAAAAACAGATCCAGAGACAGAAAAGCATCGATCAGACCATCAAACCTCAGAGGGAAGGAAGGTTGGAGAGGGTGGGGGTAAGGGAGCGAGATCAACCAAAGGACTTGTATGCATGCATATAAGCCTAACCAAAGGACACAGACACCAGGGGGGTGAGGGTATGAGTGGGGAGTGGGAGGGAAATGGGGGGATAAGGGCACATATGTAATACCTTAATCAATAGAGAGAGAGGAAAAAATAAAAGGATAAAGTACAAAAACAACATTGGGACCCATCCTACAATTCTGACTTGCACAAACAAATGGTTATTGGTTCCATTTACTGAGAAACAGGTTTGAGAGAGATCACTACCCTTGAATGTTAAGTGCTTGGAGACATCTAGGTGTTAGACATTTAGTAGCCAGTTAGATATACAAAACTGGAATACAAAGAAATCTTCCTAGAAATAGGGATTTAGGTTCATTTGCATCCTATAAATATATATGACATATAATATACATTTTCCCCTACTTAAACTATTCTGATATCACTCAAAAACTTCTTAGAAGAATTAAGAACCCCCTACCCAAAGTATTTGAAAACTGATAAATTCTAAATTTATCTCCTCTTAGTCATCTAATTATCTTACATTCTAAGAAACTTTACAATCACTAATTATAAAAAGACTATTGCCAAGTAGATAGAAATAGGATCTATAAAGAAATAACACAATGCGTGTATGAGGACAAATGTTTCTGAGCTAAGGAAAGCAAGACATTATACATTAACAGATTCAATAATAAGGATACTGTCAAATGCACAGCCATGATTCCAATCCAAATAGAGTTTCAAAATTCCTGTAATATATCAGCTCCTACTTCCTACAGTTTCTCTCATTTAATCCTTCTGAAAGCAAAGCAAAAACAGACCAAGGTGGATGAAATTAGAATTCTGAACACGTTCCCTAAGAAGCTGTTAGTTCCTCAGGGTAGCCAGCCCTGAGGTTAAAAGTCTGAAAGAGATGTAGGGATGCCCATTCTCCTTTTGGTTGCTGCTCAGTGCCATCAGATTTTACTGGTATGAAAAATTTTTTGTTCATTTCAGCACTTGTATTCTGCAAGTAAGGCTGAAAAAATGAAAAGGACCATGCTATACATTAATATATTGTGATATGGGAAAGTGGTTATGTTTATCTATAAGTCTATATATGCTCACTATAAAAACTTTTTTAAATGTAATTTATGTACTCTGATCCTTACCCTCACCCTTTTTTAGTTTTTTATGAACCCCACATTATTATTTACAGAAATAAGCCATTAAATTAAAATTACTTCAATGAATTTAATCCTTGGATATAGATGCACAGGCGTTTTTGCCAATCAGCAAAATGACTCTAGGCCAACTTATTTACCTACCCGTGCCTTGGTTTTCTTAATCTATAAAATGGATTTAAAATAGGACCTAAATCATGGGATGATGAAAAAAAGATAAATAAAATAAAAAGTTGACATTATAAGTTCAAAAAAAAAAGATTAAATTAGTTAATCTTAAGTACTCTGTATAGCACTTGATAGAGTCAAAATGAAATCTTTTATTACACTAAATCAATTTCAAAGTATTGACAGGTATCTACAATGGTTTCAATAACAATGGTTGATTTTGAGTACAATTTTGAAGTTGTTATTCTGATAGCAATAATAGCTAACACTTATTGAGGACTTAACATTAACTGAGCACCCCAGATGTGGCTCTTCTCCTAATCACTAAAGAGCTAGAATCAGGTACTTCTCCTCCTTCCCTCCATCATTGCCCAAAATTATTGAAGCAACTCCCTTCTTACTCTCTATGTCCTTCATTTCCAAACTGTAAAGTCAAACAACCAATCAACCAACCTACTTTTCATTCATCTACGTATTAATTGTGGGCTCCAAAAGGGCTACTGGCAAGGACTGTCCTGGTGCTTGCTTACCACTGCACATCCAGCATGGTGCCTGGCACACGATGGGCACTCAAGCATTAGGTGAGTGGTTAAACAAAACAAACAAACTTGCATACCTCCCAGCCTATCTGATATGAGCAGCTTTCACTAATAAACAGACTTTTATTCATTTTTATAGTCTCAAATTAATAGAAAAAGGTTTGACAGCAATGAAGTATCTAGGAGTGGAGAAAACAGATCCAGGATGAGGTCCAGGAAATAAGAATAGAGAGGAAAGCAAACTTACTTCTTCCTGTCTACCATCTCCTTGCCAGACAAGGAGGAATAATGTCCTCTGGTCTACATGCATCAGTCCCATTTGTAAATTGGCAGACTGGGTTCTCCACAGGCCAAAGAAAAACTGAACTCAACGTTTTTTAATTTAAATGGAAGTCAGTCTTAGAAACAAGGTGCTTTAATTTTAATGTGTAGCTTTAACTTACTTTAAGCTTTTGAAGCACCTTTTTTAAATTTCCCCTTCTTTCCTTCCCTTCCTTTGGCTTTTGAACACAGGATTTTAGGCAATCTCCAAGTGGGCCTATTTGTGTGTTTATAAGTGAAACAGCTTACATATGCCTAATGAGAGTAATTTTTTTTCAAGCTGCATGTCTATGGATAATTTATGACACTTTCCCCACAATTAGTATAGAAGTATGTATAAAAGAAAGTTGTAATTTAGGTTATCAATATAAAAACAATCACACACAAAGGTGGAATACAGAAGGAAGAGACATTTGTAATAGCCCTGTACTATTTCTAAAGCATGTACCCCCCCCCAAATATATACATATATATATATATATATATATATATATATATCCTCAAGCATAAAACAATAGCATTATATCACCATATTTTAAGCATGATAAAATAATAAAGTGAAAACATTTGTGGAATGTAGGTTCCTGCTCTTATCAGAAACCTAACACAAACTCTAAGCAAATAA